AAGCCGACCTGTGCAGCTCTTGTACATGCAGGCAGCGCGCGCCGTGTCCGCAGGGGATGCAGCGGCATGCAGGTGGGGAGCACCTGGACCCGACCAACTTAGAAAGAAAACTCAACCAAATTTAGTTATTCTTTGCGCGAGTTTTTGGGATTGATTTCCTGCTTGAAAGCTAGCCGTTGGCAGCAACACGCGCACGCCGGGTCCACAAACGCTCCTGGACTTGGACACGCGCAAATTACCACAGAAAAATCAACCAAATTTAGTTGATTTTTCTGCGCGAGTTTGGGGGATTAATTCCGGAATGAAAGCTAGCCAAGAAATATCTGGGTGGTGGCGGTTGACCACTGCGATGAGTACTCGAATGACTCAATGTGCTCCCTGAGATTGAGAATATCATCTTTGAACTTTCGGCGTTCCAGACTTTTGGGAAGGAGTGCAGGAGTTAGATTAGCTGGTTCCTGACCAACGGTAGCTGGCATCTTTTGCCAAGGAGTTGTTCATGGATGGGTATGTGATGAGTGCCTTGCAGCAAGGAGTGCTTGAGGAGAATGGCAAGGAGAAAGTCCGTTCATCGCGTACAGTCGAGAAGTGACTGTCATCAGGAGGCCATGGGTGCAGAGCAATGTCAATAAGCGCCTCAAGCTTGACAACTACGTTAATCGTCAGTTTACTGGCCATGGCAGCCTCTCAGCACTGAAATGGGGAGTGGTCGTCAGCATGAGTTGGTAGCATGGTCATCACCAAAATGCCCCAGAATGACGTCGCGTCCCTTGCTTGGACGAAATGGTGGAGTGGTGCCGCAATGCCACTTTGCGAGGAGCTGGCCTGATCGGGTGGCGTTTGATGAACCACAAACCTTTGAATTTCGCATGGTAGCGGACTTCGGGGTGAGAGGAACTGGGAAGCGGTGGTGAGATTAAATTAAACTGTTCCCACCACCAGTGCACGACGGTGAGCTGGAGAAATGGGAAGATTGGTCATGACAACTGAAGCGGTGCCTTGGATTGTAAAAACCCGTTGCAACGCGAATGATGGATGATGTCGAAGGTTCCCAAAGAGTGCCCGCTGATGACTTGTGCGAAGTTGACGCGCAGCAGACTGGAGCACAAAACAGCCGACTATTATTATTCTCCTCACGACAACTGGCGCGCATGCTGGCACAGATCACTGATGGTGCCACATGGGCGACTCTTCGAAACTTTGGGGAAGATTGCGCAGTCAGTTTGCAGTGCCTGAACGAGCGAGAGCGACGAGTCCTCTGAATGAGATGCTTTCTTTCGTTCAAGCTGAGAAGTGATCAACTGGAGAGTGATCTGAGTGATTACTATTACTGGCAGGCCGCTGGACAATGACCTCCTGATCACACTGTATATGCAGAAACCGATTGGTCCAATGCAGCAACGCTTGCATGTTTAATGTTCGGAACATCAACACACTCAGTGAAGTCATGGAGATTGTAGCGAGTCTAGCTATCTCAATAGCAGACATCTGACTATGCCAAGCATGAGGAATAATTTGACGGTGGTCTAGCAGACATGGACATTGGAGCATTGAAAGGGAAGAAAGACGACAATAGGGTAGTATGAACAGTGAAACAGGTATTTACCAAGGAAAAGGCACAGGCAAAGGAATGCACAAAGGCAAGACAAGAAAAAATGAGAAGGATGCAAGGGAATGAGAGGACAAGGAAAAGGAATCAAGGGACATTGACGGCGACAAGGTTGTTTTGCTTGTGGTGACACGAGCTTCTGTCGGGGAAATGTCGGCAGTGACCGATGGTGATAACCAACAGGAGAATCATCAAGGAGAGTGGACTCAGGATTGGAATCGGGAACAGGAATGGTACGATGGTTGGTCTTCATGGAGGTAATCGTGGAGTCATGAGTGGTTACGTTCGCTTGATGATGGGTCCGGTGACTGGCCTTGGTTCAATAACGACTGGAATCATTGGAACGAAGGCCGGTCTTGGTTTCACAAGCTTGGTGGAGTGCGGAGCGGCCAAACTCCAATATACGGCGTCTAGCTCCAAAGCGAATGCGTCGCAGTTGCAGCTGCGACTGTCGAGGCGCAGGATCAGAATTCGCCCCGATTGAGCATCCGAGGTGCGAAGCCTGGGATAATAGTGCCGAATTTATTCCATGCATGGAGCATGCTTTGCCAGAGATTGATCCATCGCCGCATCTACAACGGAAGGCGGAATAACAGCCGGTGTCAGGTATACCAATGTACCCTGTCGCACAATGGGAGGAGGGTTTCAGTCAATCAAGGCAAGATAGTCTCGGGCCCCTTGGGTGCAAAAATCCTGCAACAATAAACGGCAACACTGACCAGTGGAAACGGCATCCCAGTGCATACGTAGAGCTGTACATTCATGGAATGACCACTGCTACAGTCAAGCTGTACAATCTTCCGGCCTTGTATATCCAATGTCTTTCCATACAAATTTCGTAGTGAAGGCGCACTCACTCGAGTGCAGCTCAAGATCACCGGTGCAAACCATTCCGGTCAACAGCTCGCACAAGCTCCACGAATAACAGCTTGGTGCATTGGGGGGTTTGCTGTGGGTGTCGGAATTGCATGACAGCTCGTTTGACCATCTTCAGCAGATTGGTGCCCTGATTGCAGTACAGGGCATAAAGAATGCTCATGGTTACACGTATGACGCGTGGAAAAAGAATGCGCCACGGCTGAAATTGATCCGGCACGACGTCCAGACAGAAAAGGGAAACGTTCGATAGCTGAATCGAAGATTCCAAGACTTCGCCAGCACAAATGTCCCGATTGACTGGCACGATGAGGGATTGACTGTTACAATCAGCGATTCGATATTTCTTGACTTTGGCAAGCAACCGGCCCAGTGACCCGAAAGAACGGAAAGGCCGAGTGAAGTTTAAACTCGCCACCAGCCGCAATTGAGGCATGTGAAGAAGAGTGAGCCCAGACATTGCCTTTCGCAGATTGGCAAAGCTGAGCCCAAAATGCGCGCGCCAAATTGCCTGGGGGCAACAAGGACAAGCCAATTGGTTGGCCTTCCTGGTTAAGACCTTTGACAACCATTTATGTCCGAAACCGTGAACCTTTCTGACGCTTCCCCAGCTATCTGGCGTTTTCGCCGGTTCAACCATGTTTTTTCCGTTGCCTCGGCTCCGTCCGAACACGCCGTAGGGTAGTCTTGGATTGGTTCGACCGAAAATACCATCCACACAAGGCTTTGTTGCATAGTACAGTGTTGGGGATCAAGCGCATGAAGTTGCGAGCTGCACAGGATTGTAGCTTCAAAATGCAACGGTTCGTCGCAGCTGCCACTGCTCAACAGTTTGCTCATTGTCCAGAGCAATAAGCCGGAGCATGCTGCATCCGGATAGTGCCAGGAAAACTTGCCTAACAAGAGGGATCCCGCACCAATCTCGGAATGAACTTTAATCATGACTGTGGAAAAGTTCGGCACGGCATCTTTGTTTCGCTGCTCACTGTGTGTTGGCCTGCAGCTGTGATTTCATTCAGCAAGTGCAACCAACCGCACCAGTGGCAAACCAGAGGGAACTTGCCACTTACCCACTTCAAAACGCTGCCATACACGAGTTCTGGTTGATGGGGCAGCTGAATGTTGCATCCGACTGCTTGCATACAGTATCTGTAAGGGTTATGCAGGAAGCATAACGCATGTTGGGCCGCCTTTAATTCATGCTGACGTCGCTTCATGGCATCGGGATGCTTGCCCATGCGAGCACAGCGAGATGGCGCTCAAGAGGCAGGGACACAGAGTTGAAGGGGGTTTCAGATCCAAAACTCGGTCCCGGCAGGTGGGCCGTGCGCCAGTTGTCAGGGTTCCTGTCGGACTACTTGGAGGGCATCACTGAGCAAAACCTGCAGGTTCCGGAGCAGTGGGGAAATTTGCGCACATGCAGGTTAGAAAAACACAGTATCAAGCAGTATCTGGAAGACATGTCATTATACTGCACCTGGCCTGGCTTTCCCGTCCGCAACGCAGCAGCAACTCCGTCGCTCAAGGCTTCTTTGAGCTTGGAGGTCGGTGAGGCCAAGCCACATGCTCCACTGTTTTGCTGTGCCTTCTACATCGACTCGTGCATATGTTGCGACGGCAAAGGTGGAAATCCGGCATGCCGTGGGCCTGGAATGACTCCGGCGTGCTTCCCACTGCCACCCAAGTTCACACCTAGGTTCGTGTCCATGGGGAACTTCTCAAAGATCAGCACTTTTCCTTGCTTAGCAGCGATGTCAGCGTGTCAGCCTCAACGGAGCACCCTCCTCGTTTTTGCATGCAGTCTTCTCGACGTGCCTCGCCTTTTCCCACCGAGGTGTTTGCACGCATCCCTTGGCGAAATCTCGGTTCTGAGCCAACTGTGACTGCCTCACACAGCTTGCCTTGCCTCACATTCTGAAGCATTTTGCACGGACTTGTGCAGCTGCCGAAGGTCATCACGGTAAAAGATGTTTGGATAGAAGTGGAGGCTAGGCGATGGCCGTTGATGGTCCGTTTCCAAGTCCATGCCGGCCAGGCACGTGCTGAGGCTTCGGCCAAATCAGTGGACCCTGCGGAGGCGAGTGTTGCAGTCAAAATCGGGGCAAGAACGGAGAGATTCCCCCGAATTCTGCCGTTCAATTACAAGATTTTACAAGTACAACTCTCAGCTCGGCAGAGCAAGATAGATGTGATCAGCAGACAAGCAGGCCAGGGCCAAGGCGGAGGAGGAGCTGCAAAGGCAATACGTCGTTTTTGCTGTGGCACTTTTCCTACATGCTGTCGGAAGTGCACGGGTGAAAGTTCAGGTGGAGACAGCGAAAAAGAAGCAAAGTTGAGGTTGGTTCTCGAGCCACCCAGTGTAAGTGCTGGTGCCGAGCCGTCTGCTGTCCGTGACCAGGCACGAGTAGAATCAGCACGACTTGCGAACACTGAAGAAGCCCAGCCCAAGCCACAGTCTGTTGAGGAGGCAAGCACGGTTTTGCGTCGTGCCGCCTCTCCAAGGCCCCGACGTGGAATGGCAGCACGGCTTGGCCATGCGAGTTTCTCAGCTCTGCAAGATTCTGCAAAGCTCTTCCTTCGCTTTGGTTTCCCTCGGCTTCAGACAGCAATGCTGACAGGCAGCGCTGCGTCAGCTGCAGGTGGGAAAGGAGTAAAGGAGTAAATTAGCGGCCTCTTGAAGGGACACTTGTGGCAGCTACTTGTGGCATCTGGTGGCAGGTCAGGGTGGACGGCTTGAGAGCACGCGTGCACAATGAGGTGCAGATCATACGTCCAGCCTCCTCTGGACCTCTGAGTCTGGGATGTGCACCTGCTTGAAAATTTGAGGTCGTCTCTTCTTCCACCTTGGATCTTTCGCTGGTCCGGTTGGCCTTGGACGAGGGCAGCTCCAATCCGGATCACAGAACCGAGGTGCCAGCGGAGGCGCGGGCTGAAGTGCAGGGCCAGGCATGGCTTTTTGTAGGCGATAGGCCCCTCTTTTTCTTCAAAGGTGCAGCGCCATCCGGCATCACTGGACAAGATCTTGGAATTGGTGGGGAGCCCACGGCCAGAAAATGAGCTGCACACCTTCCGTGAGCACCAGGTCGGGCTTTGCGGACAACGGACGATTTCAAAGGAGGATAGCCTTGGGCCAAAAGTACTGCGGGAGCTGGTCAACGCTGAGAGCGCGCTTCAGACGCCAAGGTTCCAATTTGTGGCCATCTCTGCGGTCACGGGCCTCAGTTCCTCAGCACCCGGCATGTCTGGTCTGTAGCTGTCTCCGTGTGGCGGGCAACTGTGGCTCAGAAGATATAGGCACACAGGAGTCAGGTGTCCCACGCACAGCAGCTCAAGCAGTGTACGTGAACAGTAAACCTGACAACGAACGGAACTTCACTGTTGAGCTGAAGTACGCATTGCGTTTCCATTGCCGCCGGCATCGTCGCATCATGGAGCTTGCCAGCTCAGTGCAGGTCGACTTCCCCGGAAGGGTTGTCGGGTAAGTCTGGTTTTTTCGAACCTACGACGCAACTCTCGTCACAAGTTGTCCAGAACAGACCTGCAGTGAGCCAGGGCCCTGTGGCTCGCGCGCATGCGGCTCGTATTGACGAGCCACGCGGTGCTCCTGCCAGAGGTGCGCCTTTGCCAATTTTCGCGATGCAAGAAGATTTTCCGGACAGCTAGTTCACCGACTCCTCACAGTTCTACGGTTTACATGTATCGCGTCTCGCGTATCTGTTGAATTTGGCATCCTGACCGATTGCGGCTCGCAGGTATCCAAGCGGCGACACAGAGAAAGAGATTTGCCACGGCGATCGGCTTTGGCATCTCGTTGAATTTGGCCTGGGCCGGCCAAGCACAGGCCCGTTCACGAAGTCTGCGGAAGGCCCATGGCCAGGGCCGTCACGGGCGTCGAGAGGTCCTGTCGATCGGAGTGGTGACCCCGCTGGTTGTGCCGTTGGCAGCCAAAGCGGAAGCGGAACCCCCAACGGTGTCGAAGAAGGTTGCCGAAGGTGTCTACATCTTCGACCAAGCGTATGGCATCCCTGGCCTTGGAGTTGGTCCTTGCCTCGGCCGTCGGAGAATGCAGGAGCGGGCTTCTAAGCCTAAGCCGCAACTACAGCATCTCAGGTGCCAATATTCCCATCCGCATGACCGTGCTGAGCCTTGAAGGTGGCGGCTACTTGGTTTACAACCCATGTCACCCAACTGCAGCAGCTTGGCTGCACCTCCCACTTTGCCAGCAGAGCAGGAGCTTTCAAGTGCAGAGATTACGCGTGGTGATTGTTTCAGGAGGCCATGCAGATGTTAAAAGATTTTGGCCTGACAGACGTGCGATATATTGCTTCTTGGCTGGCATGTGTCACCAGTACCTCAGGACCCAAGGAAAGAAAGGAGAGTATTATGTCGTCTGAGGTATGTGGCACTGTTGCCATTGAGCACAAGTATTATGCTCCTGAGTGGGCACAGCTCTTTCCAAAAGCAGAGGTGCCGATTTGGGATTTGGGCGGAGTGAGCCGTAGCAGAGCAGGCACGTGCCCGCGGCTGACCAGGTGTGGATAAGTCCACGGACATTTAGCTGGCCGGTTGACTTCGGACCGTATGCTCCAAAGCCGCATTCGGTTTCGATGCGGAGTTCATGTTGCAGAGAGGACGTCAAGAGATCAGCTCTGGACCAGGTTCCAGTGGGAGGCTTTTCAAGGAGCACACCACTGCAAAAGATTCCCAAAGATGCATCGTTGGCACCTTGGTCCTCCAAGGCCATGCTGTGCTCTGTGCCGGATGCATGGGGTCACAATGGCGTCGAGTCAGGCGCCTGTCAAACTGTCATGGAGCAAGCTGGCAGGGCATCGACCATCTTCAATTGACCGTTGACTACGCACCGCGAACGGTCTTTGAAGAGACGGTGCTCTTCCACAAACCGTCTGGCAGCTTCGTCTGCACTGCCTCCTGGCAGCATTGAGAGGCGGCGTTGGTGCTTGTTCTGATCTCGGTGCGGTGCAGTGGTGATGCAGGACATGCTGATCGGTCTGTCGGATGAGCCGCCGGAGATCTTGACTCTGTCACCCTACAAGGAAGGACTTCTTTGGTTCTCCCGCGATGAGCCTTTGGAAGAGGCAGGCTTCGCAATTGAACATTCTGAGAGGCAAAACCGGCTTGGCCGTTGGCAAAACTGTCAGACATTCCACGATTTCCCATGCCAGAGTCTGCGGGGTAATGCAGGTCGACGTCAGCAGTCCAAAAACACTGAAGGATGGATACCAAAAGCACCTCGGTTTGGAGAGACTGTCGTGTGACAGGCTCTGTCTGACCGAAGCCGGCCGCGCACAGGTCTGTACTGCTTCTGAACAACATCAACCCACGATCGCTGCTCTCAGTTGCAGCAGGTAGGACATGCTGCAACTCTACTCATTCAGCATCTCTGTGCCGAGCTCCGTATCAGGCGATTTGGCTGTGCCGGAACAACTTGGCTTGGCATCCAAAGCGCCACAGAAGGAGCTGGGATACTTTGGCTGGTATCCGAGACTCGGCACAATCCCAAAAGGCTCTTCAGTGTCCCCACAAAAATTGGACGGAGTTCGATCCTGGGCAGCCTAGGTGTAACTGGCAGGCGTCCGACTCACCATGCGCCAAATTAGATGATCGCCTGCTTCCGTCGAAGGGGAGCAAGACCTTTGATTGTCGTCCAGGCTAGTTCTCCAGCTTGGTTTCGTTGCTACATGTATTTCCATGTTCGCTAAGACCTCGCATGCTGGTATTCACTGCGCACAGCAGTGGTTTGGATTTGCATCAGACTGCCATCAGCTCGCCAGCATGTCCAGTACTGCAGTGGCCGGAAGTTTCGTTCTATTGTTCCTGCGACCACGCGTTTTGAACGATTGCAATCCTTCTGAGCTCTGCTCGGTTTTATGAGTCTGAATGAAAGCACAAGCCCACTGCTGCATAGTTGCCGTGCAGCTAGCTGGGCAGGGTTCACAGGCCACTATCACGCAAACACCGACATGTTTCAGATGGCGTTTTTTCCGGAGACGCAGCAGTGGATCTCGCCCTTCGCTCTGCAGGCTGGCGTGGAGAATGGACCAGGTTGGCTGCTGGGGTTGAAGGGACCGGATTCCAAGTTCCGAGCTTCGTCGCTGAGCTCCAAGTCAGCCGCGATCCGGAGACGTGCGGAGCTCGGATCAGTGGTCTGAGAAACACAGACCAGAAATACTGCATTGCAAGGTTTGTCACTTTTCACGAGAGCTTTTTACCACAGCTGTATGGGTTTGAGAAGAAGCACACTAAAGACACAGCTGACGGGTAGCGGAATCTAACACGACAACTTGCATTCATCTGCTTGTCAAGTGCTACCAGAAATTACACATGCAGGACAATTCAGTCTCGGCATTTGTGCTAAGCGTGCGAAGTCATCTCAATTCGCCGAGGCTTGACAGTTTTGCGAAGGAGATATCCCGAAGATGGCCAGGAATAAAGAACGTGATCTCTTCGCACTTCAGCTCTCCATTGCCAGTGTCGTGGCAGAGATCTGGAATCCAGTAGTGGTGCAATAGACGGTGCAGGAACTTTGCAGACTCAAGTGCGAGCAAGGCTTCCAGCGAGAACGTGTCGAAGGCTATATCTGCCGTTTGCCGCGGGCCACCCGGCCCAGCAGCACGAGTAGCGGACCTCAGTGCGATCCTGAACTTCCGCGATTACTTGGAGGAAAATGCGCCGTGCCTGAGATAGTAAGCTGGTTTACCACTTCGCTTCGTTGTTGTCGGCTGCTGCATGGCCTGCAATATGGTGGTTTTATGTGCTTTTCCAAGGACTTGATATACAAGCCCGCCAAAGGGCGAGGAAGCTGGACCGCCTGAAGCAGCGGTTCTCACGTACAGAGGTCCACAAACTAGACGGAGGGCAAACTACTGCAGATGGTCGACATGATTGCTCATGAGCCACGACGGACCTCTGTGCTTTTTTTACATCATTTTCCTGTCAGCACGAATGCATGGGATGCCTTTGTGGAGAGAGTTCCATGCCGTGCAGCTATGCTTTGATAATTTCGTAGCCCGACCTGCATGGTTGAGGAAGAATTAGTTCAGGATTCCTCCGTGGAACCACTGGTTGCGGGGTGAATCTATTTTTAACTATTTTACCGGCATGTTCGTGAAATAGAGAGCTTAAGTGAGACTAGTCACTAGTTTGCCGCAACATTCATCAGTTTTCCAATAAACATAGATACAGTATGCTAGCGGCTTACACGTTTTTCTATGTTGGCACGGCTCCAGAATGTGACGTGCCGCAGTACGATCTGATGCGACCCGATGTTTCATACTACGCATAAACGCTGTGTATGCGAGTGTATGCTTGCAGAGTGTATGATATGGCGTCTGCTGCTGCAGCAAAGTGTGTTTTGTGTGTGTGTGCACGCATGTGTCCACAAGCCAGCTTTGGGATCGCGTAGACCCGATAGGCTATCTGATAGACCGTATTGATTATGCTGCACGCTCATTGGTAAAAGTGGATCGCCAACTTCCTCGCCATGCACCTTTGTCAGTCCTCCAAATCCGCAAAGACTGCACTAAGGCACGACCTTGAAGACCTGCAGCGACGCACCCGACTTAGTAAATCTTGCTTGGACGGGGCGCTTCACTACCGGATGGGAGCTGCAAAGGGCTGGAAACGGCTGACGCTGGCATCCTCAGTGAGCTTACAGAACAGCTCGGACGCATCAAGGCCTTGCTGAGCAATGTGTCTCTAAATGACTATAGTCAGCGAATGTTAGCGAGCTGACCTCGTGATGCGAAAGAACCCTGAAAACCTTCAAGAACTCCGGCACACGACAGGCTGCACTGGTGTGCGTCCAGGGAGAGACAGCACCGCTGCCCGAGACCCATCCTGAAGGATTACAGCAAGTGTGGAATCTGTGGATGACCGTGTGGCATATAATATACTTCTTTTTCGCAGTGATCTGTTGGTACAGAGAGCTGGACGTTTGGTGAATGAGGATGTAGACAGGTTTTTGCCATAGCTTTTTGGCTCAAGTCAAGTTGTGGCTGCAGCGAGTTGCCATGGAATCGTGCCCAGAATGCGGCAGCACGGAGAATATCGTGCTTACGAGATCAGTTCTCCAGTGCCGGTCGTGTGGCATCTCTAGATGCAGGCTGTGCAAGAACATGTGGAACGTCGACCACAGATGCGCCACTTCCGTGGCATTGGCCCGATCTTGGGAAGACTTCAAAGATGTGGCGACCTATGAGATGCAGTTGAGGCCTTTAGGTTTCAAGCGCTGTCCGGCCTGCCAACTTGCATGTGAGAAGCAAGACCCCTTGTCTTGCGACCACATCACCTGTGTTTGTGGGCATGAGTTCTGCTGGATGTGTGGCGAAGATCGTCGGGTAATCAAGGCCGGGCTGGGACAGAAGCATGTGCTATGCACAGGAATTCCTGCGTTCTTGTGTTTCTTCCGCACGTGTTATGCGACTTTCGCTCCGTTGAGGCTCACGACAACAGCTACCATCACAAGCGCTGCCCGTTCTATGAGCCTTGCGATGAGATACCACGGCTGGAGAAGAATTGCCCAGTTTGCCAAGCAACTGGAGTGCCGTGCTTGCGTCCTCCCCAAGCACATGCAGCACGCAGGGCAGCGATCAGACAACAAGCTCTTGGTCTGGAGGTGCGGCGCTTAAGAGAGGGCATGGAGCAGAGTGATGGAGCCATCATCACGGAGAAGACAGAGACCCTTGGCAGATTTTCAGCTGATACTGTGTGACTGCTGGCGGATGTCTTCTCGAGCAAGATGCCTCGGCAACTCTTGGCAATAAGGGCAGTGCAGAGACCCGAGCACCCCTTCAACTTGGAGGCACTCTCGCAGCTGCTTTGCGGTGGTCCGCTGGCGTCTTGCTGTAGGGTCGCCTTCTTAGTCTCACAAAGCGCGCAGTCTCCGTACCTTGGAAGATGCTGGAAAGCCGAGCCGAGCCGAGGTGTTGAATTCTGATCCACCAGCCCGCCGCTGATGGCAGCCATGCACGGCTGGCTGTGACAGCTTGCACGATCTTGCACTTGAAGAGTTGCCATTTTGCAGCCATGTTGAGCTCAGCAGGCCCTTGCAGGGTTTTTTCGGCTTCAAAGAAGCATGACGTTGAGCTTGGATTGGCCACTAATTCGTTTCGTGCCCTGGCAGTGCCAGGCAGAATTCACAGCACAGAGGTGGTTTGAGCTCATGTGCTGTGCTGAAGCTGTACTTGTACAGTTGGTACAAACTCAATGATGTAGGTGCAAACCTCGTTGTCGTGCAAGCGATACAGTGACAAGTGACGAGTATAATAATCCTCTTGGAAATGCAGGGGCCGTGATTGTACGTGGTTAGTTGAACAATAAGTGTGCATAAAGCACGTCCAAGCTCAGGATTGGACCACTCTCGCTGGATGCCCGCCTCTGGCATTCTCAAGCTGGTGGCATTTTGTGGAAGTGCTGGCGCAGATTGTCTCTAAATTTCGCCTTGCAAGAGAGCTCGTGATCGCACGGGCGTTTCTTTGCGTGGCAGGCTCCAGACAGAGCTGCAGGCCCGCAGCGAGTGCTAGGATTCCTTTCATCAGGTTTGGGTTAGGCTGTTCCAGCCCAGAACATCTGCCGCATCAGCATCTGCTGCTTGCCAGATCTTGTCGGTTCGATATTTTGCTACAAGGAGCATAGCAGCCTCAGCCTCACCGAATCTCACAGCGACAAGTTTCAGAAGATGCCGCAGGAACTCAACGGCTCCATCCCCAAAATGATGAAAAGCTCGGGGAATCGAAAGTACCGATAATGGCCAGAAACATGGTAGCCACAAACTCGACCACGACGCTATTTGGGTTCTGGGCTCTTCGCAGTGCCTTGCAGCTGTAATCGCTAGCCGACATCATGCGCAGAGCAGATGTCAATGTCCTCACGCCACAGGGAGCAAAGCAGGCTTGTTGAGTGAAGCTGGCTGCCAGCATTGGAACAATTTGGTGACTGCAAAATCTGCTAACCTCCTAATTTCAAAGAATGGCTTGTTGCCTTTGCTTTTGCGAGGGGTGGGTTGGTCTATGAAAACGTGCAGTTGAGTGTGGACAGTGGACACGGGTGTGGGGTAAGGAGGGATGACATCCCTGCTTTACTTTAGTCCCAGCTTTCACTTTGCATCCGTAGTGCAGCATTCTGGCCCGAGGTGAAGCTTTACATCCCACTGCTCCGCTCAGAGTTTGTCGTGTTTGTCTCTGCGAGAATGTCTACACACCTTACCTCAGCAAAAGAAGGCCACCCAACTTGGTCTCTAAACCGGGAGTAGACACTTCTGCTCCGACCTGCAAGCCCCTTTCATTCCGCGGCCTCCTTTGCCCGGCTTGTCGAAAGTGAACTGAAATCCGAACCTTCACAGAGTTTCGCTCTGGACCATCGACAGAGTCCGAGTCTCCTTTCAATTTAGTCCTAGATCCGAGCCCTGTCACTCCTCGCAGGTCTCAGAGGCGAGCGCGGCCATGAAGTTGTCCCCCGCCAACGCGCAGCGGCCTCGCGAGCTGCAGGCGAGTCTCAGAGGCAGCGCCCTTGCTCCTAATTTGCTCCAAGGACCTACATTAGCCATCTCCTGAATTGGTACCGAGCTGAGTTTTGAGACCCAGAAGGCATGACACAGATTGCCCATCAATCCACAGGTACAGCGAAGCAAATCTGGCACCGAGGGCATTAAACTCTCGAGATGGCTCATGCGCTTACAACGGATGACAAAAAACCGTTGAATTCGGGTTGAAAAAGCCGTCTGCACCGAGGTGGAGATGCTGTTGACGTTGCTCCTTGGTTTCATTTCACTTTCTGGTAGCCACCGAAGACCCACCAGCTTAAAGACCAGCCATGTTGGCGACATCCTGCAGGTGCCTCTCCCATCCGGCACGGAGTATTCGGAGATGTGCTCCCTTGAAGCAGTCAGCGTCAGAGCATGAAGAACCCTTTGGCGCAGGTGCGTCCGCCGAGCCAAAGGCGACCAACTGCAGGGAGACGAGCCCCTGCCTAATCTCCATTTGGACTTGCAAGACGCTCCGACATGCTCCGACAAGTTGCGCTCGGAAGGCACCGGCTCACCGAGATAGAAGACCTGGCGCCTGTGGAGTGGTTGGCCAGGCCAGTGTGATGCGGTCGACCGGCGGCCTCATGCGGGCTCGAAAACTTTCAGGTGGCAACTGAGAAGCTTGGAGCAGCTGGGGCATGAAAGCGTTGCGTGGCAGCCTCAGTTGTGCTTCTCAAACTGCAGTGCGGGCACCGCACAGAAGTGACTCGAAAGTCACAGACTGCAAATTGACGACGATGCGACAAGCTCCTGATTATGAAGGCTTTATGCTGGGCCACTGCTGGGTAGCATGTAGCCGAAGCTCCGAAATCGCCAAAGACAGCTCGGCGCGGCAATGCATGCTCAGTTGGCTTCCGCACACTGTGGGGGTGTTACACAGGCGAACGGAAATGCCAGTAGACTTACAGTTGGGAAGCCCTGTGAGAGGGAGTCCTCAAGTCACGAGTTTTCGGGCCGTCCTCTGGCGACGTATGTCTTTGGCATGCAATCCAGACAGTTGGTTGCAGCGATGTGCGCAGACAGGTCGCAGCCACCGGCGCGACGGGGCTTTGCAGATGCCTTGGCTCCTCTGTATGTCAGTATCGATCCTGAGTTCGAAGCTCTCAAGGTGGGGTGGTTGCGAGGAGCCTCGGATAGGGTTCTGGTCTTACTGTGCACTCGGGAACCGTGTGGCGTCGGGCCTTTCGACCTTTCTGCCCAGGCGACAGCAACAGCATCGCAAGGCCAGGCTGCCACGTGGATCTCACTATTATGCCTTTGTGTCACTGCGCGGGCAAGGCGAGGATGACGAGGCCTTGGAGGACATTGCTGGCTTCTTAAAGTCTGCGATCACGAGGGCTCCCTTTGCTTGTGGAGAACGGACCTAAGGTCGAGGAAGCTGGGAAGCAGAGTTTTTTTGAGGAGGTTCGGACGGGCAGGTGACTTCGCTTGGCTGCACACGGGGGCCATCCTTCCATCGAATTTTGCAGGTGGAGGAACCTCGAAAGCTTGAGGCACTCAATTCCGAGAGGAGGGACAGTCCTAGCCGGCCTAGCAGTAGAGTTGTGAAATCTGTCCCTCATAGCTCGCAGCTTCCATTGGCACTGAAACTGAAGGTTCGTCTTGCGATTCCTCACTGTACAATTCTTTCGTGCTCTCCAGCGCTCTCGTCGAGCGTGATGCCGAGCCAAAAGTTTTATGTCTTTGCACGGGTGGCGGTGACAGACCCAGGTCCAGTCCCCGATTTGTGCATCGAAGGTGGTCGGATCCCCAGGAGGTCACCTTCCCTCATGTCAAACACTGCTTCAGACAAGGTGTTCAATGTCAACTCTCACTCGCCACGGCTCGAGAAGGTGTCGTGGAGCGCTCGTTGGAATCATTTTTCCGGAAGTCGGCCCCAGCCTAACGTAGGCTCCATGGCTAACTTCATGAAGGCTGTTCGAACCTTGGATCATCAGCACATTGCCCAAATTGTCCTTGGCCTACTTCACCTAGGCCTGGGATGCGGATGTCACCGGGACTCGGAATGGAAATAAACTGCACAGCTCATCGCAGCTTCATGATCCATCGTGCAGCTCTGTTATGCCATTGCCCGGCAAGGTGAGTGCCAATCTCTCCTCCGTGGCTGTGTTGCTCGGAAAGGCTGCTATCTCCGTGAAAAGGGCTTGCGAGACAGCCGAGTTGGAGTTCCGCAGATCTTCAGGAGCCTTTGATGCTACTTCGCCGTAGCGCAGATGCCACAGCCTGAGTTCGGGTGACAACAACGAAGTCCCGCACCCGCACGTGCGTCTGCAAGAGCTTCCTGAGGTCGAAGTCACACTGCCCGCTTCCCATACTCGATGAAGCCTCGCACGAAACGGTTGCTGAGTGATTGCTAGGCTCTCTGCATAAGGCCGAAAACGGTATCCGTTGATGACGACGATGAGTGCGGGACATGGACTGTTCGCTCGGATGCGGCACATCAGCAGGCAGCTGTTGCATGCTTCCGCCGGAGCCAATGAAACCATACAGCCCGATGACGGAAATTGGAAGTTGGTTCCAAGGTTCTTCGACGTACAAAGCGACATCGAGGTGGGAAACTTTCTGTGGCGACTCTCTCAAGACACTGCGAGCCCTGAGACTCGAAAGGAAACCACAGACAGCACTTTGCAGGAGGCCAGTCTTCTTGATCCTAATGGTCATGTCGCTGTGGGTTATTTAGCGGAAACACGCCTGCCAAGGCTGCGGTCACACTGAAACTTCATGTCGCACGATTCGGGGGAAGTGCTCGAGCCCTTGAGAAGCCGCACATTCGAATCAAGGCTTCCATCCCAGCCCATGGCTAAGGCTAGCTCGAGCTCCTTGCCCTGGGCACTACGCGTGCGGCTGAAGCAGGAGAGGTCTTCATGTCAAGCATCGCAGAACTGGGCCAGGTCCGGAAGATTGCATGGGCTTTGTGCCGTCGGTTTTCTGGTGTGTGTGTGTGTGCATGGATCCTCAGAAGGACTATTCCGCATCAACAGTGCCGAACACAGGCTATGTAACAGTAGTGTTCGAAGGAGTCTTCCGAATACCGATATGTTCCCAGAGCGCAAAGAATCGTCCTTGTAGCAGACACGGAAATCGATTGGGAATGCACGTGTGAGCTGAGGTGTGTTTGCAGACAGTGGACACGCACGTGAATATGCCTTCTGCAGCATGCGTTGAACTGCCTTCACGAAGCTGACGAAAGTTGCTTGGCAGGAACCCTTCAGGTTCATGTTGGCACCTCACAGTGGGCAGCTTGATGAAAGCTTTGGGTGAGCGGTGCGTAAACCCGACAGAAGCAGGTATGCACGATGCCTTGAGCACGGTCGTGGCAGTGGCCAGATCCTTCGTTGAACCGGATGGACCCCGGTTTGTCTTCGAAAGAATGTAGAATGCCAGAGACTATCCGTCAATGTGTGCCGAGTTTAGAGCAGCTACTTCCTGCCGCCGCAGTTTTCTCAGTCGCCGGGTCACCGGGAGCAGGTCAAGGCCTTTCAGATGCTCTGACTGAGGTGTGTCAAGTCCTTCGGATCCTTGCATGAACACGAACCTGATCGAGAGAGGCGCCAAAATGCAGTTTGAGTGTTTGCCTTGCGCCATGTCAGCGCAGAGACACCACTAGTAGGCACCACTAAGCCACTAACTACGCTAGAGCGTCAATCTCATGTTCGTCTTTCCTGCTGCGCAGATCCGAAGTCGCCCGCAGCAGCGGCTGACCATCTGGAGGCGAGCTCCAGAACTTCAAGCGCCGGAAGCGTGTTGACATGCCGTGAATTTGCTCAGGCGCCTCCAGATGCATCCGAGGTGCGGCACGGTGATATGTTGCATACATGTAAACATACACATGCATGTCCACTTCATAAGGCCCTTGCTCTGGACCTGGATTTGGATGTCATGCACTTAGCTCTGCCTGGGCCATGCCGTTGCATGCAGGGCATGACCCATTAACCCCAGTTCCAAAGTCAAAGTGATGTTGCAATTGCAGCATGATGTAGGTAATGCACTAGTAGCGTTCGTTTTGACTGCTTACTGTGGGCCAGGTTATCTTCGCAACTTTCGCTTTTCTCGGTGTGTCTCCTGTGCCAAGGTTGCAGCTCCAGTTTTTCGTGTGAAGCCTACGTTGTCATGGGCGTTTGTCGTATATTCTGCCCTTGCGTGCATCCGATGCTGGCCTGTTTTTGCGATCATTGCGCAGGATGGGGTCTATTGCCCTCGGGACACGTGGAGGGCTCAGTTCAGCATATATGTCGGGGCAGCGTGCGGAGCCTGTTCTGCTGGAAAGGTCACCATCGCCCTCGGTCGCTTGATTTTCCGCACGAGCAGCCAGCAGCCGCCAGAGCAAGTCTCACAACCAGAGAGGTTCCCACTGCTTGGTTCCGCCGAGTTGCTGCATGCAATACCGTAGCAGGTGCGAGTGGCGCAAGTTCTCCTGTTTTTGCCAGCTGACCGAGACAAGCGCATTGAACTCAGACAAGTAATGTAAACTGAGTGTGAATGTGCTGGTGATGCTTGCCCTCCATCCCTCTCTCCCTCTCCCTTCATTTCCGTGGCATTAGGTGACGGCCCAATCGGAAGAAGCTGAGGAGTTTCGAGCGTCTTGGAAGAGTTGTGACATGAGTTTCTGCGAGAACTGGCAGATCTTGCTGTGAGAGTCCCAGAGAGCGAAGGTTTACGAGCCGGCAACCATGAACCTCCAAGCAAGATGCCCAGTGATAACTCCTGAACCGTGGTTTGTTGTCAAGCTGCAATGCATGTCATCCGCTGATGGTGTATGAAATGTCCAAGGCCTGGCGAGATGCAGAAACCAATGGCTGGTCGCTCCCTGAAAACGCTGTCCTTTGTTTGCGCGATTCCAGACTCCACTACGGATGCCAGGGACTTCAGCCTGGAGAGCCCATCCGTCCGGTGGATCGTCGATCCAGTCTTCTTGAAGGCTCGGAAGCAGAGGAGGGGCAAAAGATGAGGAGGGGAGTCTCGATCTTCTGCCGTGTCAGGTGGCCGGACAGCTGCCAATCAGAGCAGCCCCCAGACGGGCCAAGAGATCGGCTCAAGAGCTGCAACTGATGCATCCATTTCCATCCATGGTCGACACTGGCAGCTCCAGGCTTGGACCATGCCATCAGTCCTTTGCGCGATGTCATGTCTCAGGCCTGCATTTTGTGGTGCTGAATGCCTTGTACGGGAACCACCGAGATCCTCAACTAATGCTGCTAGAGGTATTGACTGATCCCGGCGTGAGCTCCGCGAATGCGGAAGGAACCCTGGCACAGTCCCAAGAAGCGAAGGTCCTTCAGGACTGCAGATTGCTCACATATGCCTATATTCCATGGTGGGTTTGGGCTGCCTGTTGCTACGTTGAATCATGCTTGCCGATATCCTCTGAATGGGAACCACAGAAACTTTCGATGAGAACCTGTCTTCCACGTGTTGTCGTTCGGGAGTTACGTTTAGAGAGAAGTGCAGCTCACACACGCTTGGCGTAGGTCTCTCCTCAAGCAAGGCAGCGGTACGTCCTACGATGCCCTACGTGTACGGACTTCTCTTTCAAGGCTGATATTTACTGAGACCCGCAACAGCTGGTATCATGTGACTTTCATGCTTGGTTGTTTCTATTCACAGCTGGCGGTTCTTCTCGGACGGAGACATATACCCAGCATATACTCTGCATGCTAGTTCTCCACAAGGCTGATACTCTTGCAAAAAACTCGCACCCTGCAATCGGAATGCTACAGACCTTGCCTGGCTTTGTCCGAGTGTGAGTGTCAAGATGTCGGACTGCGCTTCACATGCATGCCCTGTACTGCGTACGTGCCCGTAGATTGCAACAAGCGCCTGGTTCACTTCGCTTGCCTCATGCATGATGCCCTTCGCATATGAAAGGCTTTTGTGGAATAATCTGGTGCTACAACAGACTTGCTTGAAAGACTCTGCGAACACTGGTGAGTTTCTCTTTGTCATAGTTGGGTAACATTTTACATTTTTAAGGGTACTTAAACCCAATAAGGAATATACATTTAGATTTCTAATACTACCCCAACCATGAACAAGTTCTATTGTAAGTGGCGGTCTAGCAGAGTCCAGCATGATTCCCATGCTTGCGGCTGATGGGCTACTCACGTCAAGGGCTTGTGGTTTGATAGATTCCGGTTCACACGCCTTTCAGTTCATGCCTGTGGGTTCTTCCTTTTTTCACTGTGGCCCACTTCGAGCTACCGACTGCTCAGTACTCATTGATTGTTGCAGGAGCCTGGAGGCAAAGTACACCCCAAGGTTCCACCTCAGCTGATTGTGGTAGCTAGAAAGCTAGTGCTGCCGAGCACCTGTGGCGACGAGGTTCACGTCAAGCTGAGCATCGCGACTACACAGCTGGTTCCTGGCCTTGGTTTGAAGCTGGCCCTCCGCAAGAGACTTCGTGCCTTCTTCGCCTTCAGCACGGTGTTGAGGTTTTGCACCCTGCGTCTGGCCACAAGGCTCTTGTCCGATCGACATCGAAAGCTGTCGAACATCGCCTCAGCCTGCAGCGGAGTGCCAGCCTGAGGTCTCGTTGGAGTTGGATGGAATTCTGGCCCAGTATTCGGGCTATGAATCTCGCAACGACATCTTGGGCGAGGCCTGCCTAGTTTGCAGATGCGTGTGCATGCGTGCATCTGGAGTGAAGTGAGGTTGCTGTAGATCGCAGGTCGCGCTTTGCCACCTCTCCTGTGACAGTACGGTGCTGGTTTCCTTCACCCGCGGTGCATCGCTTCAGGCCGGCCACTCATTGTCAAATTGCCTTCTCGCAGTGTTGAAGGGCATCGTGCTGCACGGACATAATTTGCATTTACTTGCTGCGTAACCCTCCAGATGACGACATCAAAAGAGCTTTCCTGTTTCTTTGTGAGGTTAGAAGTGCAGATCATCATGTAAACGTTCGCGGAGGCAGCACTTTGATTGCTGTACGGCCAGAAGCTGAGAGTACAGGCACCTCTCGTTTTTGTTGATGTCGTCCGGCGCTTGTTTGTTTGCTTGTTTGCAGCCTCAAGGTGGCACGAACATCCCATCCGCGAGGCAGCTCGAAGTACGAGCTAGCAGTGCCGTTGGAGAGCTGTCGCAAGGTCCTGGGAGCCTTCTACGAGGCCACAGAAGCTGCCGCACGCAATCGCAGCAGGCATCCTCTACGGAGCTGATCAGGCTTGGGAGGCTCTGGCCGCTGGACACGAGCACGTGCAGGAGCCGGCAACTGTCGAAGCTTGCGGCAGAGCAGCAGATCCGATGAAGTCCTGACAGGGCCTTCTGCCGGTTGGAGACAGCGCTGGGATGTTTGCCAAGCCTCTGCCTGAACTTCGTTGGGCCGTGTGCCGGTTCCGCAAGGGACCGATGTTCTTATACAATGTCCCAGCTTAGTTTGTTATGTCTTTTGAGGCTTTGGGGTGCCTATGTGGTCCATCCAATACAGGCAGCATGTGGTTGCATTACTGTTGCATGTGCAGTTGTCAACACTTGAAACTGTCGGCCGCATGAGAAGCAGCACAGGCGCGGGTGAAGCAGAAGGCCGCACGGCGGCTTGCTGAACTAGTTCCAGGAGTGGAGCAAGGCGCGCGACATGCTCGAACAGATTTCTGTCCTGAAATTTAATTCTGATCTTCAACACCTTCTAGAGTCCAGGTGCAGCGCCGGACGCCGGTCACTGCCTCGTGAAGGTCCTTTGTTGCAATAATCTGAAGATGACTGTCGTCCCTGGCAAGGTCTGGCAGCGCAGCAGGCAAACATCAGACACCATCAGTCCATACCCATGTCTTTGAATCCGGAAGCTGGCAGGACACCGAACAGGAAAGCCACAAGAGCAGTGAGGCAAGTCTTGGTGCCTTCACTTGCACTTGCCAAGTTAGCCTGAGACAAGGACGCGGAAGGCCTCCAACCTCGGGGTTCCTGCTCTGTGGAGGCCCACAAGCATCTGCCGGCATTTCAACATGAAAGCCACCTACTGTACTTATGGCCGCGTTGCCAGCGTTTCCCTGTTGCCGACATGTGTGCATGCAGTCCGTCATTGTGGTGCTGCAGCGTGTCAGCGTCCATGTGTTGCAGCTAGAGCAACACCTCAGCTCTCCTGAGACTGTGGTTTGCGAGCTTTGTTGTCTCTGGGTCCGAGCCTTTCGCAGCGTGTGCAGGTGGTCCTGTTCTACGAAGGTTTAGATATCGCCACTTCCTTAGTTCAGTCTGGATCGATTTGCAGACCATGCGGCCTGCATTGCAGAGGTTTTCCCCGGGAGCGAACAGCGCGAAGGTCCTCCCGATGGACCACCTGTGGTGCAGGTGGCATGGCTGAGCTTAGCAGACTTGTGGAGCAGGCTCAACTCCAGAATTTCCCAACTTCATTGTGTGAAGCTTCTATCTGCTGTTTGCAGATGACCAGAAGCACTCCCACTCGCTGGTATTTGAATAGGACCTGCCTTCTCATTCGAGACAAAGCCAGCATACAACAATGAAGCGACGAAGGCGGCTGCATGATCGCAAAGCCTGAGGTTGGTGTCAATGGCGCCGAATGTTCGTTTCGAGCATTTCAATCCGGAGACGCTTCTGCTGCCGCACGGTTCCCAGTTTTGCCTCTCGAATTCCAGAGAACGGCGCAGAATTGATTGGAGGTGTCGCTGGTGGCCGTGACCCTCGAACTAGCCCGGATCTCTTTCGGGATGTTCGTGTAGCTCGAAGCGCGAGAAAGCCCGAGCAGAGGACGGCCGGAGGCTGCTGATGCCGCGACGAGGGGAGAAGCTTCTCAAGGCCATCAGACGCCACAAAAACCGGGGCCTGCTGTGACGCCTCTTTTGTGGTGAAAGCCGCTGGCTTTTCAGGAGCTTGCGATAGGTGTCTTTATTAATCGACTCTCTTCTCGCACTGCCTTCGTTTCCCCCCTAGACTTCTTGGCCCCCTTCTCAAGACTTTGTCTTTATAGGTCGGTTGGGAAGGGGTTGCTGCTTCTGATTTCTCCATAACGTGCAGCCTGGGAGACATAAACTGCACTTTATAAACACTTTGCGTAGGTGAACATCCTCCGCCGATCTCGTGTTGAACCGGCCCTGTCATGGACGGCATCGTGGGTTGCGGCCTTGGCTTTGTGACGTGTGCTTGTCCCGTCTGTACTTGCATGATCGTGCGCGGCTTGTCGTGCTTCTCGATGTTTCGCAAGTGTACGAGCTTCGTCTGCGAAAGATCTCGAACTGCGCTACGGTAGGTACCCCAGCAATGCCTCCTAGAAAGTGGAGAAATATGTCTTAGACGTTTCTCGATTGCTAACCAATGTACCTTTGCTGATATTTGCGGGGTGTCGTCATATGGCTAATAATACGGTTCCTGCAGGAGCCTCCAGGTTTGTTGCGATTTCCGGCAGAAAACGCGCAGGGCCCCATCGGAGCACGGTATGCAGCAAGCAGAGTTCTCCAACCCCCGTCACCCTGCGTGAGTGAGATTGGGGCTACCTTGTGGCCAACGGAGCCTGCCCACTCTTCTTTGTACAAATAAACCCGCCATGAAACACTTACGCAATTACGAACCAATACGCAGTCATTCGATTGTGGCTTCCGCGTTCCAAGCCTGTTGTTTGAGTTTGCTGCCGAAAGCGCAGCTGTTTTAGGCACATACCGTAGGTGGAGCAGGTGCTTTCCATTCGGCCCCTCTAATTATCCCAAAGCTTCCACAATGTTCTGGGCACCGTGTTCGCAACAGCAGCACTTTGGCAGCTTTGCTGCTCAGAATGCAGTTTCCGGGACGACATGGCATCTGTAGTGCCCAACGTGGTTTTAAGCGCAGAAGTTGTCCGGCATGCAAGCTTTCTAAGTAGCTTCGTCCTGAGTCTACAGCATATAGGCTTGCCCCTCCTCGCGGTTTGAGCATCCTGTGGGCCATGGTTGCCATTTCACGAAACTGCTGCTGCACACATGACACTCGCAGATAATGCCCAAGTTGAGTGTACAGAAGGAGCTCCGGAGCTTCGTTGGACAAGTCTTGCGGGAAGGTGGAGAGGATCATCTGCTGCATCGGAAAGGAAAGGGCGGGAAAGGCAAAGGAAAGGGCAAGGGCAAGGTCGGCAAGAGCAAAGGCAAAGGCAAGGACAAAGGCAAGCTAGCTAGAAGCGGCAAAGGCAAGGCCAAGAGCGAGCAATCAGGCAATGCATTCCCGGTTCCGCTGCACGGGCCTCGTGCATCCAGGCGGGTGCAGCGTCGACAGCAGCGCAAGGACAAGAAGGCGCGCCGCGCGCACTTCTTCGGGGGCCATCGTCATGCCGAGGCTCCCGAGGAAGAGGAAAACGGGCGGCCTGATGCTACGAAGGCAAAGAAGGCCCAAGCAGGCAAAGCAATGAAAGCAAGCAGCAAGAGGATGCGACACATGGACGACGACGATGAAATCACCTCTGAAGAATGTCAAAATGCGGAAGGTGAAGAGGGCAAGGACGGTGCAGGTACGGAGATGGCAGATGCAGATGAAGGCTCCGCTCTTGAGAACATGGAATCAGAGATGGAAGAAGATGATGCTGAAGTCGCTAGCAGTGACGGCAGTGGGCAGGGTGAAAATTCAACCCCTGGAGAGCATGAACAAGGCCGGTACATCCCTCCACATCTGCGAGGCAAGCAGAGGCAAGACACCGTGCAACTGCAGCACCTGCGCCAGCTGAGAGGTATTTTGAATCGCGTCTCTGAGGGAAACTTGGATCCAAGTTGTAATGAACTGGTGCAGCTGCTGAGCAAGCTGGTGCCGTCGGTGGGCTCTGCTACAGCTGCCCATGAGTTTGCAGAAGCCTTGTTGCAAGCAGCAGTGGGTGATCCCAATATTTCCGTCCTTGTCTTGGGCTGCTTTGCGGCATTGGTGGCCGCCTGCCACGTGCTGCTGGGGCCAGCATTCGGGGCTGCAGCTCTCTTGAAGAGCGCGAAGACACTCAAGGATCGAATGGCAGCTGCGGAGGAGAACAGAGGGGAGAAGGAGAATGAGGACAACGAGGAGGAGCTACAAAATCCGGACGCTCGCGTTGCCAAGAACAGCATAATTTTCAACATGCTGCTTTTCAGTTTCGGAGTTTTGCCAGGGAGCGTTGTTTTCGACATCGTGCGATTCGTGTTTGCTAGATCTGCCTCGGAACTCTCCATTGACCTATCTCTTGCAATACTACGTTATGGCGGCCGGAAGCTACGATCCGATTGTCCGGAAGACTTCCGGGCCGTGCTCAACTTCGTTACAGCAGAAGCGAGCACTTCTAGAGACAAGTCTGATGATGGCTCCGAGATTAAATCACGCCTGGACTACCTGTTGCGAGAGCTGGCCGATCTCAAGAACAACAAAGTTTCCTTTTCTGTGATGGATCGTTTCAAGCAAACCCAGGGATGGCTGCAAACGGCGCCTTTGTTGGCAGGCAAGAAAGTGGAGGAGCATGCTTTGGCAGTGCCTTTCCAGCTGATGCAAGACGAAGCTCCTCCTAATTGGCCGTTGCAGGGGGGTGCCTCCACCATCTTGGCCAAATCCAAAAAGGGAACTCTTGCCGACCCACTCAGGGATGCTGCTGTCGCGCAGCGCCTGACATCCGAGTTGCGCCAGAGTCTTTTTGTAGCCCTCATGGGGGCTGAGGATTTTCAGGATGCAGCGGAGCGATTGTCTGTGGCAGCATCGGCTGCTAAGGCTGGCTGTGTCGAATGCTGCATTGTCCTTTTTCACTGTGCCATTCGCGAGAAGGCACCGAATGCCTTTTATGCTCATGTTGCACATGCTCTTTGTGGTCTTCCGGCCCCTGCAGGCAAGAGGTTCTCGCACGGTATGAAAAGAGCAGCCGTGCAACATATACAGCAAGCGCACACCTATGGAGTGCGAGCTGCAGTTTGCTTGGCCGAGTTATGTGCTTCAATGATGTCCTCCAACAGCGTGATGCTACCAGTTTCGATCATTCGCTTCATGCGGTTTGGCGGCGACACCGGGGACGGTGGCAGCCAGGGACTGCAAGGCATCTTGGGCTTGGTCTTACGACACATGGTGGAATCACTCCTCCAGCAGGTGCCGGAATCACAAATATCCCAACTCTTTGCGCCTCTCCGAAAGTACGAGGATGTCCGCGAAGGAATGCTTTTGATTCTGGACGGTCATGTTCGGCCAAGGCTGCCTTCAGCGGCCAAGAATCCAATTCTTTGGGACAAGTTCCGAGCAGCGCGCAAGGAAGTTGTCACGAGATCAGCGATGGATTGAGCCCGAGCCAAAGCAAGCTCCAACCGGCAGACCCCCGCGCATGGGCGGACAGTGAACTTCATGGAAGTTTGCGGTCTAAGAAGCTTTGGCGTGTGGAGCTCTCATGCAGCATTCTGCCTTGCAGGTCTTTTTGTGGGCTTTATTCATATTCTGTGCTGAGGCCCAGATCTGCATTCTCTTCAGGACCGCCAGCCTGCACGGGGTCGTTGGGTGTGGGAATGGTGTGGGAGCTGCGCAGATCAATGGTGCGCGAGGCAGAGGGATTACGATATGCTCGTGGCTTTCGTGAGCAAATCCATCAAGGATGCCATGCCGTCCGGGGACCTAGTTCGCCGATGCAGCCTTCTCCGAGCCACTCAGTCGGCTGAAGGTCAAGAAGATGGCCCGAGGCCGTCGCTGCGGCACTGCGGAAGGAAGTGAAGTCCAAGTGATTCTTGTGCCAGGCACTTCCTGGAGAAACTGGCGGCCAGGTCTGCAGCTCAGACCCGGGTGATAGCTCTGTGAGACCTTGGGCCTCCCCACATTACGAGCCACTTGTTCGACTTCAGGTGGAAAAGCCCGATGCCACGAAAAGCAGCGAGGCTTGGGTCTGCACTTCGATGCTCATGTCTACATGCCCCGTCCCCACAAAAGATCACGATGCAGAGGTCAGTTCAAGGGGTTCGCGGATTGTCGTTTCTCACAGGTTGAGCAGCCCGGAGCATGCAGCTTAGCTGGGCTGAGTGACCTGAAGATGGATGCTGACCGAGCACCCGTACTGGCAGTTCGAATTCCTGAGGCACGTTTTCAGCTGGACATTGGAGCACCAATGGTGTTTCTGCAGCACGCCAAGCTCGTACAGAGCTCCTGTACTTCTTGCACCTGCGACAAAGACAGAGCCTGTTTCGTCCTTTTGTGCTCTTGTGTTATGACGCAGCATTCTTATCAAAATGCCGGAAAAGTGTCGCATGGCCCAGTGCAAGGACGGAAAAGCGAACCGGTTTACTTTGCCGCACTGGATAGCACAGGACATGTGAGAAATTCCGATTCTGACACATGGCATGTCTCCGCTATGGCAATGGCCCAGAGCGAGTTGAACTTTTGAACGTGGGAGCGCCGCGGGCCGGGGGCCCTCGTCCTCGTCACGCGTTGCTCAGCCCGGGTGGCTCACCGAGCAGCCACCACGGGCTGGAAGTGAAGGCTGTGAACAAGGCTTGGCCGGCCTGGCTCGCAACCGGCTTCGCTTCGAGCTTCCTTTCGCGGCGTCCTTTCCGGAGGCAACATCTTTTGTTTGCTCTGCATGGCGCTGTGGCGGTGTGCGCTGTTCAGCACGTCAGGTTTCTGAGGTCAGCGACGCTTCTCAAGGGGCTTGATGAGAGCCAGGCTTAGCTACAGCATACTGCAGAATACATGCAATACACCCTGGCGAGCAGGGTGCATAGCTCTTGCGAGACGGCATGCTTAGGATTACCGAGTCCGAGATCTGTTACGAGAACGGCCACAGATACGAGATTTTCTTCGACCAAGTCCTGGGGTCCGGAGCGCAGGCAGCCTGTGGCCGTAACTGTACTGCGCACATGATGAGATGCAGTAGCAGTGTAATTCCCAGATGATGAAGGCCACAGACGCAGCTGTATAGTGTTTTGTCAAACCCAATTCAAGTCGGCGGGCTGGCAGTCACTGTTGTGCACGAGCAGAGACCACGTGTGGGAAAATAGTAAGCCGAATTGGAATGTTAGTCGAGTTGGTTGCGACTTGGGCGTGTCGGAAGCAGTCGTGCAGGAAACAGCTTGCACTTCTCTTCTAGCTTAGGCAGGTTTTCTTCAGGTAGCTTCACGTGCGTTTACGACACAGCATCACCCGCAGCGCCAGTATGATATGCTATAATATGAGGTCATGTAAGTCTAGACGTGCATGCAAAGCCATCAGTAAGTTCCGCGACCCCTGCGGGAATAGGCTTTCGAATTTGACGGCAGAATCACATGAAAGAACAGTCACACTATAGATAATGAGTAGCGCTTCTCAGCCGCTGCTTGCCCTTAGCGGAGGGCGCGCCTTGTGCGTGCGAGGCGTGACAGAATCCACGTGACTCAGACAAAAACAAAGAGGATGCAGGGACTCGAACAACCCGCAGTCCGCAGTCAATCTCGATGCCTGGCTGGATAAAAGAACGAGCAGCATTCGCGAAATTTGCGACGCTGACTGTGCAATGTTTCCGGATGGCCAGGGCCAGTGCCAGTTCCAGGCACTAGGCCAGGAGGAAGACAGGGCAGGACCGCCAACCATGGCAACAATACAATGATGTAGCAGCAACTAAGATGGCAACAATCTAGTAGCAGTGATCTCAGCGATCACAACGCTAGTCATGAGGCAAAATTTGCCGTTTGTCCTCTTGTTCGTGACGACGACAAACAGGACGAGGATTCACAGCGCAGATGGCCACTGAACGTTCGTAGAGCTACTGCACTCTAGATTCGGCTTGTCTGGCCAGGGCACCGTGTGCGGAGCTGAGCCCTGCGAAAGGAGATGGCATGGCGTGCCAGCTCGAAATTGAAGCATGCTGTGAGGTACAGAGGACGAGCCGAAGAAGGCGATCCTGTGGCCATCAAGGCCACGGCAGCAAAGCCTAGTGAAAGGCAGCTTCGAAGATGAAGGTCATCCCCACGTGGAGACTTGTCCTCGAGCCCGGGTTCGAGGTGCGACCGGCCAGAACTGAAACCGAAACACCCTTCTCGGTCTTGCGAGGAGAAGAAGCTGGCGTCCATTAATGGAGAGCTCGATACGTTGAGAATGCTTGGGAAACACGACAACATTGTCAGGGGCTAATGCCTCCAGGTTTCGTCTTCCGTAAGCTCGGTGCCTTCGGTCATTGAGACTTGATGAGGCCGGGCTGCTTTCCACGGCCACAGTGAATAGCGTGGACCATGCCGGAAAAGTCCGACCCCGATACAAAGTCGTGGTCATGGAGGCCCAGGGAGGTCTCAAAAGGAAAGCAGTTCCCGCCACAGCCCCTTGCGAGGTGGTGCATGGCAAGGAGCTCGCAGAACACATTGCGCTCCAAGGAGCTTTAAAAGAGTCGATTGCCCGCCACATCTTCTTGCAGGCCCGGCTTACGGAAACCCACTGAGGGGCTAGCAAAGCATACGTTGGTTGCATCTTCGAGTTGACCCAGGTTCTCGATGGGCTCTCCTACATGCACAGCCGCGGCATCATCCACCGGGACCTGAAGCCAGAGAATCTTGCCAACAACTGTCAGGTGATGTCAGGTGTCCAGTGAGAGGAAGCAGATCCTTTGGCCCTTGGCTGAGGAACGTGATGGTCACTGGCGATGTGATCGACCATCGCAGCCGCGTCAAGCTGATCGATTTCGGAGTCGTATGCCAAGCTACTGGAGCATCCGGATGTAAGAAACTCGCAGAATGCTAAGGTCGCCAAGTGCCTGGGCCACGGGCCATTGAAAACTGTGGTTGGCACACCGCCGGCTGCCCTGCTGATTCAAATGCTTCCACTCGGCACGACGAGACCTAGCAGCCGAGGTCCATCATGGCACCAGAAGTTGCCAAAGCAAAGTTGGGACCCGCAGCTGCCCCAGCACCATTCCCCGCGCATCGCTTGGCTTCCCTTCAGCGAGGTCAACGCGGTCCATGCGAGCTTTAGTTGGGATGGCCCACAACCAGGCTGGGCTTCAAGTCTCCAAAGGTAAAGGCGATGACACTCTGGTCTCCTAGCCTGAAGCTGATGCACATGTGTTTATACACTTCATCGGGCGTGTCGTGTTAAAGGGCTTACATCCTGTGTAAGGTCGGGTGGGCGTCAGCTGGCTGTTCATTTTCCATTCCTGCATGCCCAGCCACACTTCCTACTTTCCAGTTGAACTGATCCGGAGAATCCGGCCCTCATCTTCTTTGATTCAATCGCTTCTGTAAACATCACTGCAGTCAGAGTGGGCGAGCAGAGCAGGCCCTGGTTTTCGATCATGTTCCCATTTTCCGGGCCATATGCTCAGGTGTGTCTGTCTTGTCACCAGCGGCTGACCCCAGGCAAGTTGTGGCCTCTTGTGAAAGAATGAAAAATTCCGTGAGCCGAGCAGGTCTGATCCATTCTTCTGCCCGAAGGTAGATGTTTGGCTTGCCTCTTTGACCAGCTCTGTATGCGCGCGTATCACTAAAAAAAACACCGTTTGCTTCGCCAAGGTCTGCCGGCATTTGCTTGTACACCTGCCTGTCCGGAAAACTTCCGTTCAGGAACTTCCGGTTTGTTGTTTGGACCTTGACTTGCGTTTGCCACGACCTGCAGGACGGAGATGGAAATCATCAGGCCTCAATCTGCCGACTCGGGGCGCCTTGCCTTCCGGCCGCAACATCTCTGCCAGGTCCGAATATGACAAGTCTGCCCTTGTCAATTGCTCGCAAGAAGCCAAAGATCTTCTTGAAAGGATGCTGGAGAAGGAGTGCCGGATGCATGTCTATCATGCTTGGCAGCTGTGTATCAGACTGTACATAAGACTGTGAGCACGTCCTGGGTACGATGCTGCAAATTCCGTGCACAGGATGTTTCAAAACGTCTGAGCATTCATCAGTGCCTGGCCCACCCGTGGGTGACCTGCTCCGAAACAGACGGTTGCCCCCTGAGCTTGCGTGCGCTTGTGGAGCCCTCGCCTCGTGTTGTGAGTGCGGACTCCTGATATGTTGACCCTAGGCTGCACGGTCGACCTCGGGAACGACTGGGACGCATGAGCCGAGCATTGAGTCAGTAGTCTAATCAGTAGATTTTCCTAGGTGTATATGCATCTAGTTAATAGTGCAGAATTCGTCTGCAGACCCAAACCCAGACCCGACTGTGGACAAGACATGGAGAAAGGAGATAAGCCTGCTTTTTGGGAGTGCATTGAGCGATTCAGCCCGAGAGTACACTAATGCTGCAGGCCAACGGACGGGCGCTGCCTTTCTCCGCCGAGGCTTTTCCTTGGCGCAGTTCCGAACTTGGGTCAACGTTGATGTTGCAGATTAGCTCAGGCTGCAGAGTGCCGGAGGGCAGCTGGAGGTGCGAGACCTCTTCGAGTGGCTTTTCACGCTTGAGCTTGTCGGCAAAGGTGGACGAAGCTTGCGGCGAGCCTCTTTACAGGCCACGAACATTTGAACCTCTTGGAACTTTGGGCTTCCGCATCTCCGAGACTTGAGGCCGCCAGTTGGCGAAGGCTGCCTTACGCTCGACTTCGGGCACGTTGCCGCTTCTGGCGGTGGGCTGCTGCGGAACGAGGTCCCATGAGCTGTTGTTGAGGGTCTGGAGCTTGCCCCTGGCCCAAGCTTGAGGTGCAGCTGCAGCTTCGTGGAGCCCAGGTCCTTGGAACGCTGCAACGCACTTACAACTGACTGCACCTGCATGGGACAGTGCGACGACGCAGGGGCTGTCGCAGCAGGCGACTATAGGCCACCCTTGTAGAGTTAGTTAGTTCCAGATGGGGATCAGGTATCATCAAGATGTAACATTGGTTGCGAGCTGAGTTCACAGAGACGTGTGCTCTCCTTGGTTGGGTGAAAAGCAGTTACAGCAGCTACGGCATCCTGCAGCGCACGGCTCAAGCTTGAAGAGCCTTCCAAGCACGAGACAGCCAACTCGGCCCACGGCTGCCTGTAGCTTACCTGTGAGCATCACGGAAAGCTTTCGGATGTGGTGTCAAATCTGTAAAGGATACCTTGACCGGATATGCTGTGCAAGTAGCGGCAGTCCTTCGATCGATTAACACTGAGGATGGGACAGCAGAACTGTGGCTGTGGACCCTGTGAGAAGGCGGCGACGCTTGACGAGACCGCTACAATGCTACACATGTACCTGGCAGGATGAGAGTGAAGCCACAAGCCGAGTGGAATATGGTGGCGGGTCGGGATATGCCTTGGACAAGGCAAACGCTGTGTCGTGCTACACTACACAGCGCAAGGACGTTGTTCAGCTCGTTTTTTGCTAGGCAGCAGAAGAGACCATTTTCGAACCACCCACCGCGCCTTTATCGTTGAAAGGTGCCGGACTTATACTGAAGCAACCAAGCCATGCCCGCAAAAACTGCACACGACAGGGCAGTTTGAAACCAGTTCGGTCGCCCTTCCAACCGCGCATCAGCTGTGCGATCCATGTGATCCTGACTGCGACAGTGGTTCTATGTGGTTCTCGCAACTGATTGAGGCTCCCCGAAGGCTTGGGGCCCAGTCGAGGCAGCACCTCATGGGCACTGATTTGATCGAGGGCTGCCTGCATGAGATGTGATCTCAAGATGGCTCTGGTATGACAGGCAGAAGCTTTGGCTACGGCGTTGGAAGACTCCAAGTCCTCGCTCAGCAAAGCTTGGGCCAAGTTCCGTGGTGAGTTTGGTGTGCAGCTTGACTGAATCTCAGGCAGCGCATGACTGCACAAGAGAGAGGGGCATCCAAGACCTTGTGCCAGGCAGGTGAATATCTGGGGCAGCCTCGCCATAGGAGGGCCTCAGCGAGGCACGGAGGGGATCAGGGAGGGGATCAGGGAACCAAGCGATAAGACCTATGTGTTGGCGCAGTTGCAGGCACGAACTCTAAGCAGAAGGACCGAGAGGGCGCAAAGAAGGCTATCGAGTCGGCTCTTGCCCAGTTTGAGTCCGACCCCTTCGAGGCGCGGCATTTTGCAACTGACGTCTGCAGACCCTCGCTTCTGGCTTTGCCAGGCAGCCAACTCACTCCAAACAGCGATCCGCGGTCCGGCAGCGAATGCTCTAAACAATGCTACGCTTGCAGCTGCGAAGAACATCCAGACGATGACACTTCAAGCAGCAAGGCACAAACGGTTCGGTTTGTCGCGGTTTTCGTGCTTGAGCACGGGCAGCTCTGCCAGGAGAGAAGAGTTGTCGACTTTGATGAGTCAGAAGGAGCTCTGCCACAAACAGGTAATAATGTCCTCTCCGCAAGCAAACTAGCACATGTTCCTGGCAGGACACGGCAGTGAAAATGGCGCCGATGCATTTGCAGCAGCTGCTGGAAGAATGCCGTCTTGATGTACTTTGGCGTTTAATTTAATCACTCGCGCCTACATTGCTCCCAATCGCGACAGACACACAAGGATTTGCATCCTTGCAGCTCGTCTCAGGCGAAATTGGATTCGACGGTGAGGGAAGCACTTGATCTCGAAAGTACCCACACGTAGCACCCACTAGCACCCACCCACTAGAAGCAGATGTGGGTGAAATTCATTGGCGCGGAAAAGCCGTGCCTGAAAGTCTCACGCGTCAGACAGCAGAGCTCAACGCCTAGCTGTTGCAAGAAGTCAGTGCGATGCCTTCTCAACCTGAGCAGGGTATTGAACAGTGGCAAAGGCAGAGACACGAGAGCCACCTCTGACCAGCGAACTGCTTTGGCCTGTCAGATGGGTACTCAGATGGGAACCTTTGCACCAACGAACTCATCTTTCTTGACCTCTTGCTCTTAGGCCTTCAAGCTGTCTTGCAGATGCCAAGCGATGGGTGGGACCGGCTGTGACGGTGTGGTATTGAGAGCTGAACTGGCTGAAATGCCAGGCCTATCGAATTTCATGCGGTTTCGGACAAAGTGGATGGTGGCGATGTCGTGGACCATCAAATGTCCTTGACCCGCGCGCAGCCCGAGCCTGAGAAGCACAAGCACCTGCTTGGCTGGGTGCCGGGTGAGAGCACAAGGGGCACGAGTCCTACTTTGCACTCTAACTGCCAGTGTGCCATCATCGCGTTAGTGTCCCGTCTCCTCGCCACTGAAAGTACACAGCTGAGTGCCCATGAGGCCTTGAAGTTCTGATGAGGTTCTGTCACTCTCATCCTCCATGCTTCCCATGCTCCTAAGACCTTGGGACGTGGAAGACACGGGATACCTCCTAGCATAGGCCAATCTGTAGCGTACCAAGCTGCTTGACCACCGGATGAGCATTACGCTGCCATTGATGAGGTTTACCCTTATATTGGACGTGTTGGCCGAGAATATCTGTCAGAAACCAAGACAGATATCTCCATCTTTCTGATTCGAGCTGTGGGCTCGACGCTTCTTGCAGGCTACACGGGACGATCTGGGTCACAAACGACAGGTCGGCTTTATGGGACTCTGCAGAGGAGCTGCAAATTCCGACTCGCACAGGCTCAGCTCCAGCTCGCGAGCCAGCCCCGACAGGCCATACCTTTGTGCTTTTTGTTCTTGAAGCCCTCTCAGTAACAGCGCGGGCTTTCAAGATCGATTCTTGTTTCGACCTCTTAGTGCACGCCGTGAGGCGGAAATGCACGCCCAAAGAGTCGGGGCTTTCGCTTTTCCTGGAGGCCTAAGTCCAGCTCGAATCAGGTTTTGTAGGCGCAGTGCTTTTTCCGGAAGCAGTTGCACATGAGGTGGCCTGGCGAGCTGAAATTTCACGTGTCCTTTACAGAGGCGAGGGTCTCCCGAGAAGAGTCACTGTGCGTGACGGAGTCTTTAATGTCTCTTTGGCAGGCAGTACCTTTGGCATGTCTTCGGCTGCGCGACGGAATGCTCGGATTTAGCAGTTCACCCGCCGGGCAGCATCCTCAAACGTCCCAAGTTTTTGAGTTTTCCGGAGCAATAGAATCGTAGATGTCAAACCAGAGGTTAGAGTTCCGCAAGGCCGCATGATATACACGCAAGACGCGCAAGCCCGCAACTCAAGGACGGTCTACGAATGGAGAAGTGCGAAGCTAGCAGAGCTGAGCTTAGGGTGGGACGCCCTTGAGATGCGAGCTTCTTGGTGAGCCTTGCCTTAGGTGGTTGACTTGCGGACACGCTCCAAGAACGTGGTGAAGACACTGCTGGAGTTGCTCTCTCAGTGGCTCAAAGAAGTCTTCGGTGCGAACGTCTGTGTGTGTGTGTGTGGGCGTTTGTCTTGGGGTTGCTCACAGATTACGTGTCTCAAGGTGCGTGGATACAGATAATGAAGGTGTTCTCGGCTTCAAGGTGGAAGCTGGGTCCTTGTGCTTCACGAAGTAGCGGTGCAAGTGGTCCGGTGTTGAGTTGACCGACAGCAGATTGTTCATGTTTGAGGTCAACGTACCAGTGGACACGGACACATTGGCTGTTCCTAGCTCGGACATGGCCACATCATTCCGGTCGTAATCACTGAGCGAACTTGTTTGCTCGTTTGCATCCTGCCTTGTCGTGCATACGCCCTCAGGTGATCCAACTGCAGCACCCGAGAATGCACGTGCTCCCCCAACTAGCAGCTGCCTTGAAACCCGAGTCGCCGATTCGTTCAGTTCGCATCTCCCAGCCTTGTCGCAGGTCATGGACTTGGTTACGGCAGGCCTTTCTGCCTGGCAGCTCCGAGCTCAGTGCCGCAAGTGTCTGCCATCCCACGTAAGTATTTCTATAGGGAAAAGATGCCGCTTCCAGCAAGGCACTGCACATTTCGCAATGACCGGGCGGCGAGCTAAACCTTTGCTGCACTTTTCGCTTGCAGAGTTCCCGTGCGACGCCCGCTTGGGACACTGTTTAGGCATTGCCCAGCACAACACAGCAGAGGCTTTGGTTGATGATGTTTTGGTTAGTGTTGCGCAGCAGACTGTAGCAGTAGAAGCTTCAGGGGCTATCCTTCTGCCGGCTCGAGCCTCGTCGTTCGCAAGGCTATGCCAGAGGTGGGCAACTTTGAATGAGAACACTTGGCAGGTGATACGAAAGTTACCGACAAGCGAGGCACTCGAGTGCAGGTGGCTGGGTGTGCAGATGTCGGAAGCGTTTCCGTGGGCAGTTTGTGCGCCGCATTGGGGTAGGTCAACTTTCTTGATGGCTCCTTCGCCATTGCAGAGAAGCCAGCAGCCAAGCGCTGTTCGATCAAGTGTCCTTTTGTGATGCGTCGGGCTGTAGATGATTTGTGATAGTCATCATGGTGTGTCGCGTCTTGAACGTGTTTTGAAGAGGTGGGCTGAGCCGACAGAGCACTTCGAGTTCGCTGGAAGTGTCTTGATACACATCCTCGTGCATGCTGAGGCTCGTAGAAGTTTTCGGAGTATGTCTGTTCTGCGGGGTCTTAAGGTCAAACCTTTCAACCACGGGCCCGACAAACCCGCAAAACCTCAGGGCATTCGCATCGAGCGCTTCGACCTCGAAAGTGGTGCATTGCGACTGCGGTCTGCCAGGCTGCATCTTTCGACTTGCGCTAACTAGCCTACAGCAAGCTACCCATCATGATCCTCATCCGTCATCGTCTTCGTCATCATCATCGCGACCAGCACGGTCAGCGTTAAGACTGGCAACACCAACGGATGGCCAACAATATCGAAAGTATCATGTCACCAGGAGAAGTCCCACGACCCTGTGCCCATGCCCAGCTCTCAGCAGAAGCAGAACGAGCACACCTCTGTCGCACTACGTCTTCGAGACTGCTTGTAACCAGGCAAAAAATGTCTGAAGCCAGCGGGCAGTGAATTATGCTGCCCCGCCCCATTTCTGTTACCCTCCCACAAAGAACAAAAACCTTGCGAAGCAGTGATGCAACACGCAAACACAGGCAGAGAAGGCAGATGGAGATCTGGAATCATGCTCGAGCGTACTGTAGCCTGTGTAGAACCGAGTCAGGCAAAGGCGTTGCGTGGTTCTGTGGCCTTCGGAGGCTCAGCCGTTTTTTTTTCTCGCATTGTCCAGGCCATCCCGGGCCTAGAGCCCAAAGCCCTCGTGGATGAACGATAGTTGCATCTGGCTGGCCCCATACCTTCAGCCCTTGACCGAAACACGCTGGATCTTCCCAGTTGTATACATGCTGCGACTCGAGCCGACCATAGCCGACTGAAGGTTTGGAGTGGTCGGTGCGCGGAGATCAGTGCCGTGTTGATGATGGTGCCCGCATGAAGCCCGCAGCTCAGGGTTCAGGCGTTGGTGGCATGAGTATCCTAGAGAGCTCCTCGTGACGGGTCCCACGCAAGGAGACACACAACATATGATCTGCGTTCTGTCATCATACCGTGCACGACTCAGCCGCACGATCTGTTGTGCTAGGGCGCTGATTCGGATTGTGTGGTGCCTTGCCCGCCTTCTGCGAGTCGAGATGCCTTGCCCGCCTTCTGCAAGTCGTGAGAGTCGAAACTGCCAGCTAGTGAAGCTTTGTTCGAAACGGCGTGCACAGGCCATACGCGATTCGGATGTCTGCGCGAGATCATCGGGCCATGGCCAACTCGTTGCTGGAGCTTTTCAGCATGGATGCAGAGGCTCCTGATGCTTGGGCTTGTGTAAGTGTAAATGTGCCGAACATCATTGGATTGCAAACGACCATCCTTGGCCTGCAGTCTGCCGAGCCGGCTTCCGAAACGCGGAGCAGCCACTTCAGATCTATTTCGACGGCCTCACTTTTTTCCACCCGTTAGCCACGGAGGCAACGGGCAAAGCTCATGTGTCTCAGGTCGAGACCCCTTGGCCTTACAATTGGTTGAGCCGTGAGCTTACAATGCCAGTCAACGCAATGTCAGGAATCGGGCGAGGGAGTGTCACGTGACTTCCAGCTGCAAAGGAATCGCTTGACCTTGGTGGCCGAAGTGGCCATCGAGGGTGCAGAGGCCCCTTTAGCACAGTTTAGTATGAAGTCCAGCCTGCTAAAGCATGACGGCACTCCTTGTGACAGAACTAAGGGTGCGGGAGTTGGCACATACCTTGCAAATCCATTTGGCAGACCCGTGTGGCGGAAGCTTGTCGTGATGAAGCCTCGAATCATCGCGCAACCAAGCCGGAGTGTCGTTGATCCTCCGTGACTTCTGATGAAACTCTGGACGTCGGCAGCCGCGTTTGCACTAAAGCCAATAGAACTGCAGAACCCATGACGGAGTTTTCAAACGAGTCGAAGACTGTGGTGGCATTGCTTGAAACTTAGCCTTTGGACTGCTGCAACGGTTCAGGGGTTGGAACAAGGGGAAGCCCCTGCGTCCAAGACCACATTGGTTCTTGGGTGGGCCCGAAAAACGGAGCCGCTGTGCGAGTGTCAGCAAGACCTAAAGCCTGAAGGCCAAAGCAAGGAGACATTGGGTTAGCGGTGCTCCCAACTGTAGCTCCTCCGTTGCCCAGCTTTGGGCACCAGAGACCTGGGTCTCACTCCCAAGATGTTACAGTAGCAGGTCCAAGTCCTTGGTGAGGAAGGGGGCAATGAGTGGCAAGAGCCTGAGGCAAACAAAGGATCAGCTCACGCGTGTTCTCTCTCTCTCTCTCTCTCTCTTTCTGTGTCTCAGTCGAAACTTGAGCTCTGAGGCCGGGCCTGTGTGCTAACGCTCGGTGCCAGCTGCTGCAGCTGACGGCAAGCCCTTCAGAAATGCCGGCACAGCCAGTGGTGATAGATGCACCCTTCCTCAGGTGGACAACCGACAAGGCGGCCGTGATTTCTAGAGCGGTGGCTTATGCCCACTGACAGGTGCTACTGTAGGTTCTTCATGTTGCATGTTCAGCAGGTTCAGCACCAACCATCAACCTTTTTGGTGCCGAGCTCATTGATCTGAGATCATGGTGGCACAGCAGAAAAGAAACCAACCTTGCAGTCTTCCGACAGGCAAAGAGCTGGAAGTGGACATCAGCTCACGCAACCACAGGCACATCGAAGCCATCAGCGAGTGTTACTTAGTAAATCTTAGTAGAATGTGGGGACTCTGTCATTGCCGGAAGGCTTGGTCTTTGGGAACCAGTCCTTCCTCGGTGTGGTGGCTGCCTTGAGCTGTTTCTCAGCTATTGGACCAGGCCCTGCACTTTGCCCCTCCAGTGCAGGCCTGCGCTTCTCTTACCACACACAGCGCAAGCCGGATGGAGGGCCTCGTCCGGCACTATGGCTTCCCGGATCTCCCAGACAAAAGCACTATGTTTCATGGAGTTCAGGTGATGTCGTGGTTCGTGCAGATGTGATGACCTCACTGCTTTTCTGCATTGCAAACTTCCGACCTTTGCTTTTGAATTTGCATTGCGCTGCTTTGTTGGCCCAGGTTTCAGCCCTCAAACCTGTCGAATTGGTGATCAGTGTGGGCCCGAGGGGGAGGGTCACCGCGCTGCCTCTGTATTGACACTTCGACAAGCTAAGACCTAGCTTCCAACCAGCAGTGCCGACACTGACAACCTCCGCAAACACCCAATTATTCGCACCATGGCTTGACCACGGATGGAAAGTAGGCAATGGAGCTTTGACGGTCGCCACATGTTCCACCTGAGGGCAGAAAATAAAGCAGATGCTCGCGAAAGGGGGAGGCTTCTGGGCGTCGAAGCTCGGCAGACTGCGCTCGGATGACCAGCCCTCCCCAGGGCCTGGATGGTCAGCACAGGGATTCGAGCACGAAAATTCGTGCCAGTTGAGTTCAAGAAGCTGGGACATGGATCTTTTCTGGATCTTGCATTTCAGCTGTAAGTCCATTGCGGTTTCCTCAATGCCATCATGCCCTTGATGCTCAGCATTGGGATTCCGACCCATGAATGTCGCGACGACTCGAGTCTAGAGTCTGCCCAGGTGCCCCATTTGTACATCTGGCGAGCCGGGTTTTCAAAGAGAGCTGGAGACTCAGCAGCCTCGGTTTGTCTCGGCTCCGCCATGCGGCAATGGCACAGGCCATAGAGCGATCTGGACTGAGGTGTCGAGGACATGCAGTATGGGCATTTGCTGGCTGGTCCTGGCCTCAGACCATCTCAGGCTGTACCAGCCGATGATCCGATGTCGAGCCAATCCCGTCGCAGGCGTCAATATCTCCGGTCTGACATGCCTGGTCAGAGTCGAAAGTGCAGACAGCCCAGAGGCAGAGTACATGATAGCATGTGGCATTCGCTGTGCTTGGCGTGCATGTGCTATCAAGACGCACAGGGCGCGGTGCTGCCATCGTGCGCGGAGGCCAGCTGAGGAGTTTCGCTTTCTAGTTTGAGATCTTGCTTTTACCTGGGGACCGCTGGGACTCATGCTGTATCGCATATGCAGGCACAGCCATTGGACAGCCTGCTGAAGGGCCGTGGCCGTGCTGAGTGCTCAAGTATTTCAACTACTTTTTAGCAATGCACGCGTCCACATGTCGTGACTCAAACTTGCGATAGTGACTAAGGTTGCTTCGGGGGCGCAGCTTGAAGCCAAGACCAAACCAGAGGAGCTGTGACCAGGATCCTGGTTCAGATGATGTTGTTCATGCACATGGGGGGATAACTGCGCCGACTTTTTTGCCTTGTGACTGCCACTGCTGGGGCTGGGGGGGAGGATAATAACGTTCTTTGTTTAACGTTCTTGGTTTCAAGAGGGGGGGGAGGGGGGGGAGGATAATAACGTTCTTTGTTTAACGGGATTCATGCTTCCTTGGCATGGATGAATACTATCGTATCATACCATATCAGCATGGCATGTGATTTCTACCCATCTCCACATTATTACTCATGCACAGCGCACAGCACTAATTAAACCCTTGTGAAAGCATAGGCAAATTCCTATTGGTTGACAACGACTCTTCCATAATCCTGCCCCAAACCGCATCGGATCAACTTCGTCAGATGTGCCTATCGCAGTTAACTGCATCGGATGAACTTGCTCAGCATCCGTCAAAACTTCCGTAATTGTAGTTAAGCCTTGGGTGACCGTGGAATGCCGGATCTTGCCAATTTCCTTGGAAAGCGATAGGACCCCCCAAAAGCGATACGTTTAAGGCACACATCAGTTATGAGGGATGTGGGTTGATGTCGGTTTCGTTTGTATTGGTACTGTGATTACCCTGTCACTGTCGTTCCTGAGAACCCTAGGTTCAGGGTCGGGTGTGGCGGTCGGAGACGGAAACTTTCGCTTGGGGGGTGGTGGAGGATGGGTGACGAGGATGACCACAGGTTGGCTCTCTGAAGCTTACGAAAGCATGCGTTGGGCCAGCAGTTTTTGGTTGGATAGGTGGCTAACCAATCGATACCCTAATCGATACCACCAGGTCGTTTTGTGACCCATTGCCCATTCTGATGCAATTTGTGTTTAGAGTAAAGGGCAGGTAAAGGGAAGTAACGGGCAGTAAAAGGCAGTAGAGGGCAGTAAAGCGCTGGAAGTAAAGAGCAGCAAAGGGAAGGGCAGGGAGGCTACGAGTAGGATCAGTGAGATTGATGGTCTTCTTACTTTCACCAAAGCAAAGCGATACCTCACAGAAACATGTGACGAAATCCTTGTAAAGCGAAAGGAGCCCCAAATCATCCATGGTCACGCAACATACAAGAAGTTTTGACAAGCGCTCAGATGAGAATTACTCATCCAGAGGAATAGACAGTAAACGTGTTTGCAATCTTAGGCCATGTCATGTGAGGACATATCACACATGATGTATCATGCGCAATAATCCCCCCATGGGGTTGTTCATCCCCTGTCATCACCATCTATCACCATCTATCACCATCGCCAGCACCACAGCCGTTGATCACGACGAGGATGGCGGTGACGGCGGCGGTGCTGCTGGTTATGCTGGCGAAGGTGATGGCTCGCGAATCCTATGCTCATGACGATGCAGACGGAGCTGTACTAACTCAGGCTGATGATGATGGTGATGCTGCTGATCGTGGCTGTGTAGGTTTTGCCGCCATGGACGAGGCTGAGGAAGACCACATCGATGCTAAGAGCGCTGATGAATACCGATGACAACGACGACGAGCAAGCCACCGGTGGGGATGCGGTGAAGATGGTGTGATTCGGGCCAATTGACGGTGGCGCTGATGGTGCAGCTACGAAGTTCGGGCCGTCTGTCCCGCCAAAATGGAGTCTGAGAGATTCTGTAGGGTTTTACATGCCATGCCGTCTCGATGAAGCGACTGTCACAACACCATGCCGTCTCGATGAAGCGACTGTCACAACACCAGGATGCCGAAATTCAAATCTCGTCCTGTCCATTCTGCTGATTTATGCTGTGGCGTCCTTCCACTGTTGCTCCCATCGTGAAGGCTGAACGAAAGATGTTGGTTTTCAGAAGGAAGGTTCGAAGGGCTGTAAGACGAAGCACCATGCCTCTCACATCCTCAGGCGTTGAGATCCCACGTCAAGGAGAAACCGTGAAACAATCCTGGGTTTCTCGGGCCTCCTGCCTTCGTACTGCACGACCATGGGAATTGCCTCCGAATCAAGATGCCATAGAGTGTCACGCTTGAGGCCCTTCTTGGAGCTTCGTTTGCCGGATCACCCCGTTAAGGGCTGAGTCTGCTGCGCACAGGTGCCTCATCACTAGTCACTAGTCTCCTCTGCTCGAATCGCGGTCCCTTGAGGATGCGGAGCCATGCCGGCTGCAGTACGGACGAGAGGTTTGCATCTGAGTCTTGCAGAGTCAAAACCCCGCCGGGTCGTCGCAAGATCACGCTTATTCTCGTCCTAGGTGGATGTCACATGGGACACGAAGACAGCAGGCTTCCTCATGCGGACCCGGCTGGGTTGAAGGAGATGGCTGAGATGTTTCATTCACATCAAGTTCACTTGCACCGAAGGTGCCGACTTGTCATGCCAAGACCTCCACAGCTGGTTGGCATCTCAGATCAGCCCAGCAGAAGCCGGTGCATTCTTGAAACTAGACAGGGCCTGATGTGGCAAGTGAGGGTATAGCAGAAGTAAGTCAACTTCGTGGTTTTACCTCTGGCATTCCGAAGTTTTCTGTGAAGAGGTTTCGGGCTTGTGCCAGTTAATTCCGTGCCAGGTCTTGCTCATCACCTCCACCGTGTGTGCCAGGGCACTGAGTAGCCGCTGTCGTCAGCGGCAGAACGGCTCATGTCAAGGAGTGTTCGATCCAATCAAGGTTTGGAACAAAACGCCTGCAGACTTGGAGATACGCTTTCTGGCCTGAGTCCCAATTGTCTGGCTGCCTTGATCTCCCCTGATAACCTTCAGACTGCTCGATATGATTGAAAGAGTTTCAAACTTCGAGCTCCTATAATATACGATAATATACTATCATATACTATACGACAGTATATTATAATGTACTATACTATGATAATATATATATATATATATATATTCTATAATGTACTGTACTTTAAGTACCTGACTCTTTGGAGTCTCTGCCAGGCCCCAGGTCTTCCTGAGGAGACCGCGGAGCTTGGGGCTGAGAGGCTTCGGCCCTGTCCCGTGCGTCCGGTGAGTGCAGGGCATGCCACAGAAGAGTGCGGGTCATGCGGCACCTTACTTATAAACATGTCTATATCTATATCTATATGTATATATATATATATATATATATGGATATGTAGATATACAGATATACAGATACATAGATATATATATATATATATATGTGTGTGTGTGTGTGTACATGTATGTTATGTTGTGTTATGCTATCTTTGTGTGTGTGCCACCGTGTACCGTACATTGAAGCCTGGTGGAGCTCCTTTACTCCGGGCTTCTTGTAGCCACATCGGCATTGCAAAAAGAGCCAACTCTCTCTCTGTCTCTATAAAATCGTGCGATGTTGAATGTTTTGTGGCAAAGAAGTAATCAAGGTCCTTTGTAACGGTGTTTGATTATGCCCGTTTGCTATTGCAAACTGGCAAGCGCTGAGGAAGGGATTCAACCCCATCGTCCCCCAGTCCACTCACATCTGTCGGAGCCCCAGATTGCCTTGCACTTAATTCTATGTAATGGCTTGCCGGGATGGCCGTGACTGAGAAGCTCAACATTCATGCCAGCTGGTGGCTTTCTAAAGCGAAAAGCGGTTTCCGCACGTCCCTCATGACCATCCATTTCACTTCTTGTTGTCGCCTGACCATGTGTTACATTGTTACACTTGTCATCGCCGTTGATGTCGAGAGCCTGAGTGAACCATCAGCCCACATGAAATCGCAAAGACAAATGGAAAATGCATCGAAACAGCTGCGTGAGACAATGACCAGGTCTACTGTAAGAAAGGCGCACCAGCACCATCCCCTAACCGGGTCCAGTCTGACAAGCTCAGGCACTGATGCGCGGCTGTCATCACCCCAGGGAGCATTAAGAAGCGTTTCTGGATGGCTGTAGGCTCTTCATGGTCACTTAACGGTTCATTGAGGTTGGCAGAGGGTGTGTCTCCACAGACTTGCGCTTCCGCCTCGGTGCCATTCCACGGGTAATAGTAAGCATTTTTCGCACAGCTTCCAGAAACAGGTTTCTGCAGAAGCACCTGCGGCATCAGTTTCCGAAGCCGCTTGGCCAAAGGACGGAAGGCCCCAGCCCCGTGTCATCCGGCACCGTGAAGGACATTCCACAAGGAAGCGAGGGCAGCGAGGGTGCAGTGCGCCTCAGCCCGGTCCTTACAGGGCCATGCAGGGCCTGGCGGCCGGCGCGGCCTGGGGGCCTGTATGTTTCAAAAAAATTCCGCGTCTTGAAAGGAGCGGGGGAATTGCTCTCAGCTCCTCTTTCGGCACAGCTCCGCATGGGCCAGGCCTTGGGCCCTCAGCCTGCACGTGGCACATCCATCCACTCTTTGTCAGCGGCTAGGCAGTTCTGCAGATCCGCCCGGCTTTTGAAGCTGGAGGCGGCGTCGCTTACAACTGGCAGGCAACTCAGTTGATTGACTTCAGTGACTTCCATGCCTCGAGTCACTGCCCTAGTGGCAAGGTCTGAGCAGTTCTTCGCAGTTCCAGCTGATCGCTGAGATTCTCACAACAGTCCACGCAGCGGAAAGATGCCAGGCATCCACAATCTTTTTTCTTGGCTTGTGGAAAGAAGGTGGCCAACCCCAATGACACCACGCTTTGTTCCGCTCCGCCGAATCCTGAGTCAATGCTCATGTGACACTGCATTCATGCGGACAGTTCCTATTCGTTTTCAGACGATTCGCCCCAGGCCCCCGCATATGCAGGATGTCGGGATCTCAATTCAAGTGGCAGTCAGTCAGCAGTCAGCAGCCAATGCCTTCGCAGATGCTTACAGGGTTTTGCTTGGTTGGTTGGTTGATGTTGGTTGGTTGGTTTCGGTCGGGTTGGGTTTGATTTGGTTTGGTCTGGCTGGTTTTGCTAATGCCAAGGTGCTCCCACAGAACTGGCTCTCACTTCGGACCAGCTGCGGGGGTGTGCTCCCGCAAGAAGGATGGTGCAACGTCGAGGCTTGCAAAATCAGCTCAAGAAGATTGGCGAAGTGATTCCCGGGAGGTTTATGCGCCTTTCACGGTTGTCAACGCCTGTCCCTGCGATGTGCTATGCCAGTCCCCATCCCAGCTTCTTCATGTTGTTGAATGTTTATCTGGCTTTCCAACAGACATGGGATGGGCCGAGGTTCAACCCGCCGGTCGCACGAAGGAAAATGGGCAAGGCATCGTTGCGATCCCGTGTCTGCTGCCGCGGATGAAGCGGCCATCAAGCCTTCCAGGAGCGCGAGAAGGTGCCAGTGCGCGAGCCTCGATCGCTGCTGTGCCGCTGGAGCACTCGAGTCGTGACTCGTATCGTGAGGTCCGGCACCAAGCCCAAAATTGAGCTCATCGTTGATGATGGCTTTGGAAATGAGGCTGGGTGCTTGCGAGGATGTCCAACGAAACACGTATGGCTACAATAATATATTTCGCTTGGATTGTGCCAAGGTGCTGGTACCAAGGAACGGCCAAATCGAGATCATGCCGGTTCGTCTGCAGCCAAGAACTTGTGCAGCTGTCGCTTCACCTTCCTTTACCTTACTCCAATAGGCATCGTCGTGATGTCGTCTTGGCTTCAGGTCTTGATGATGATAACTGCCTCAGGCCTGGCTGGAAGCCCTGTGCATACGCTGCATGGCATACTGGCCAGGTGGACATGCAATGGACAGGAAGGCCGCACAAAGCTACGATGGCAAAGCCTGTGCCTCGTTGAACTGGCAAGCTAGCTCTGGCGCCTGCCCAGACTGTCCAGATCTGTCAAGTCATGTTTGGCTGGCTTTCCGAGACATTAACGCCGTGGTCGCTGTTCTCAACTGCAGGACACATACCCGGTTGAGTCCAAACAGAGTGCAGGTAGCAGCACGCGGTTCTTGCGTTCAGGAGGGGACGTGACGGGGCGTGGTCGCATTTCCGACTAAAGCACGTTCTCGCCGCAGTCCTGCTCGGGCCACGTCTACAGTGCCGGGAAAACGAGTTTCATCCGATAGTCCAATACTTTGGCGGCGCTCACGAACTTCATGAATCGCTCCTGCCCCAAAGCAGTGTTTTCGTTGTCCTTCAAATCGAAAGAGAGACGTCACTAATAGCAGGGTCGGCTCTTCGTATCTCTTCGCCTCTTCGCACTGCTTAGCATGGTCTCTCTCCGGACTTTGTAAGGGGTTTCGCAATTTTCAAGTCCCGTGCGATTCCGAAGTCGTGCTCCGAACACAATGCCCTGCATGCTTCGGAGAGCACACACTGCTGTGAGCAGTTTACAAGCGTGCTCATGGAATGGTTCTTAGGTGCTAGGGCTTGGACTGTGAGGTGCTCTGTCACAGCTCGGTGTCCCATCGGCAAAGTGTTATGTTAATCTGCGTTATCCGTTTGTGTCTGAGAACCCTGACGCAGGAAGAGTGAGGTGGAAGTGGAATTCCATTGTCTTGAAGCCAAGATGAGTTCGATTCTCAGCATCGTGAGCTTCCCGAAGCCTGTGTCCGCACGTTACACGACTGGCACCGGTACCAAGATGCGCATGACCCAAAAGTGCCACAGCTGCGGATTGCACCACAGCGACGCTCCCGGTATACGTGAATCCTGGGCCACGTTTGAAGACTGAGATGAATGTCAAACACTACGGGAGGAGCATGCTTCCTGCCTTCGAGTTTGTGGCTGAGGAGAGCCTTTGCCTAATCCATATTGCAAGCGACTCGCTTAAAGTCTTGGAAGGACTTGAGCGTGTCTTTCGCAGTGCGGGACATTCACGGGCACGCCAGCTCATGGCCCCCCAAGCCAGATTTGACAGTGGAGGCATTTCGATGATGCCACGAATCATGTCAGGTCGTTGCCGTTGCGAGCAGTGCAGCAACGGACTTCTTCCACTGAAGTGGTGGTTCACCGAGCAATGCTGTTACTTCTCAGATGCTGGCAGACGACCTCCTTTGGAAGCTCAGGTGCAGCTCGAATTCAGGGGAATGCTGTGGCCTTACATTTCGAGTTGAAGAATCAGATGTTGCGCCGCATTCGATCGCCGCGGCCATTGCAATCAGGTGGATCAACCTCAATGCTATGCGGAACGGCCGAGAATTGATCGCACGAGCCACGGTAACGGTTGGTCGATGAGGGGTTTCCAAGGGACGTCCAATCGCTTGCAGGCAACCATGTAGATCGAAACATCTTGCAGATTCCTGAAGCCTCTCTCCGTTGAATTCATGTGCCAATTGGGATCACAGCTGGGCCCCGGGCCATGGAGAGCCAGGCTGAGGTAAAGTCGAGTCTTGGCCGCATGGAGAGGAGAAGCGACAGAGGAGTAAAATGACAAGTCAAGTGACTTGAGTGCTGCGGAAAGTGACAGAGCTCCAGCAAGGTTGAAGCGCACTCTGGAGGCTCGGAAGAGCTTCAGATTTCTGGCTAACTTTCGTTCGCACCTTCCCCTGGACCACCTGAAATGTTGGGGACATATCTGGAAGACGGTTGAAACTTCTTCCAACCGCCGCAACTGCCAATTCCGACGAAGTTCATGAAACAACTGGGTGTAACTAGCAGAGTTGTTGCTGCCCTGAGCTAACGGACGAGAGTAGCTCCACTTGAGTTGCATAGAACTTCACGCTTCGCGTAGGCCTTAAAACCTTGATCATGTGTGAACCCCCGGTCGTAACAACGAAAGGGTAGTAATTAGCGATTGATGCAGCCATTCCACGGCTCGATCTGATTCACCTGTTTCTTAGAGTCCAAGGCAGGCGGGGTTCAGAAAGCCAAAGGCGCAGGAGCCAAGGCTTCTGCTACTGTCAGACCCTTCGTTTCGTTGCGACTCAGCCAGAAAACCCCACACCCGGACCCCGAGCTTTGCCATTGCCGCCCGAATCCGAAAGCCATGCGCAACTCACGAAGCGAAATGCGGCAGAGAGTTTCACCTTTTTCTGCCAAGCTGCGAGGGGTTGTTAGTGGAATCTAAGCAGGGCAACTACACGGGTTTCTTGTGATGCCGTGGGCTCCTGGTTTTGGATGGTGTTGGTAGCCTATTGGGTTCTCCGTTTCGTGATCGTGAGTGGTTGCTGCATGTACCTCCGGGCCGTGTAGGCCACCCTGGTGAAAGCTGCGGGCTTGCAATTGCAAGGCCGACACATCCATCTTAGCGGGTTGCCCTGCGACACCCTGCGAGAGACCTCTGCCTTTTTGGTGCAGGTCGGCAACTACGGCTTCGTGCGGAGCGAGCAGAGGCTGCCAAAGCCCTCGCAGAGGCAGAAAGCCAGCGCCTCCGACAACAGGTGCCCCAGATCCAAACAGCACTGCGAGACGCTGCTTGCTGTAGTTTGTCTCTGCTGTTGTGGATGACATGACAGGTAAGGCGGCTGCAGGAGCAGGCAGAGTCAAGTCAGCGGTGTAAGCCAGAAACAGCACACCAACGGAGTCCTGCAGGCATGTCCTTCATGCTCTAGCTGTTCCACGAGTTCGTCCAAACCTGGCTGCGGAAAACCTCAGCCTTCGCACAAAAGGCCTTCGGCTCCTGTCGATCCTGCCGCGATGCTGAAGCGGTGCCTCGCCTCGGGCATTCTTTGCTTGCGCAGCCTTCAGCACAGCAAGCACAGCCAAGGATCCCAGTCCCACTACGTGCAGTCGATCCACTGCTTGCTCGCCCGGGAGAGGAAGGCTTCCAGCCCCAGTGGGCTGGTGACTATTTGGAGGCTGTGCAAAAGCAGGCCTGGATTTGAAGAGAGCGGTTGAACCGGCGGCTTTGCACACGGTAGCAGGCAACGCTGGACCCAGATACTATCTTCGGCACTGTGCCGGCCTGTGACATGCAGGCTGCACTTCGAGTGTTGGGAGGGTCGTAGCTTCATGGCAGAGCCCCCACCTAGGCAGATCCAGGCTGCGCAGTCCTTCTTTCCCAGGAGCTTTTTCCGGACGCGCTGTTTCAGGAGGTCGGCCTGCCGCCGGCGAAGCGGTTTAAGTCGACCACTGAGCTCAGCATCTTCCCGGATGAGGTCATGGACTACAAGCGAAAGACTGGGATGGAAAACAGCACACGCTTGACTTTTAAATCTTCTGAAACATCAAGATTTTCAGTAGTGCTATAAAGACTGGTTGCCACCGTAGCATGTGCACCGACGATGGCTGTGGCACATTTTGCTTTGCGCAGGATGGGCCACACAAAAAGTTGGATCGATTTTGCTTGACGAGAGCTCGTCATGAGTGGGAGAACAACGTGCATGTAATTAGTACGTAGGCCAGCACGTGCCTAATTCGACTTAGGTAATGCCCGCTTTCTGGTTGTGCAGTCTGGGCTTCTGTAAAATCAATCGGAGATGCACATTCAGTTTTTTACTGTCGGCACGCTTTCCGTGGTAAGTCAAAACAAAATGGCCGAGCAAGCCCCACGGCGAGTCAAGCGGGACAGGCACGGAAGCTTGGGAAATGCACTTTGCGATCCCAGGTCTACACCTCCTGGTGGTTTGTCAACTCCACAGGCTCGAGAACCAGAGCGATGCTTGCTGCATCAATCGTTCCTGAGTAGGGTTGAATTGTACATTGCTGACATGTTCAGACTGAAGAACTACACTTTCATGAGATGCAATATGTCAGTACAGCTCGTGTATTAGCCAGATGCATCTAGGATATGGAGGAGACCTCGCCTGGATTGCCCGAGTTGTCAGAGTATAAAAGTCATGCCATGATATGTTATGCCCTCGGTACTGCTTTGGTGCTATGTATGTCTCTACAATTCTCTGCATAAATGCAGAGAATGAAAAGCATACTTTGTCGCACTAACTATGTTAGAGCATACATCTATCTTGAAAGCATGACACTGTGCATGCGATCTTAGAAGTGGCATATGTTAGGCACGAGTGTACACTCGACCTCCCAATAGTAAGTGTAAGGGTCAGAGTCAGAGTGATAGTTATAGTCCTAGTAATCGCAACCGTAACCGTAATAGTAATTCTAAATAAAAATCGCACTAGTAATTCGCAATTGTAATAGTAAGTTTGGCCAGGCCTGGACGTCCGTCTCCTGCAACCCGGAGGGCCTGGCCCCATGCACCCGGTGGCGGCCTTTGGAAGCAAGGCCTGGCGGAGGAGCCGAAAAAATGAGGGATATAACACCAGTGCTTAGGGTGTTTCGTGTTTGGGGTTACCAAATACATGGTTTAAAGAGGTTTGGGGTTTGCGGCTGGCTGTTGTGGGCTTCCTTCGGTTTTAAAAGAAGTGGTGAACTGCATGTACAAACGGGCCTGCTTCTGCACATGGGCTTTTACTCTGTTATATACGGTTGTCACGTGAAGGAAACCTATTCAAAAGCCCATGTCTGCACCGCAGATGTTGAGCTCAGATTGAGTACTGTTTGCCGTTCGCTTTCCGGGCCCTGGACATGTTGCCGCGGCCTGTGATGCGATCTGGACGTGGCATGTTTCGCGCGGCAAGGACCATGGCGCACATGGTGCCTCCTACCAGGCTGACATGGAAGCAGCTCAGCCCAAGGCCTGATGCAGCAAAGGGCATCCCGTGCGAAAGAAGCTCCCATGGCATTTCCTTTATCCAGAACGAGGCAGGATCCAGGCTCATCGTTTATGGTGGTGAAAACATCGCTCGGACATCCGTAGATCCATCTCAGGCTTTGTGGGCAGCAGATGCGCAGGGCGATTCCTGGAGCTGGAGGGCCCTGAGTTGTGATGGTCCGGCGCCGCGAGTGGCACATGCCCAAGCCGCAGTGGGTTCTAGCGTCTACATCTTTGGAGGAAGATGCGGCATCGCCATGGACGAGAAGCCGCTGAATGATCTTTGGGTCCTAGACTGCCACTGTGAACCAGGGAAGGAATCCTGGTCGAAGGTGCAGCTTGCTGCGGGGAGTGACGACCCTCCAGAGCCCAGGTCGTTTCACCGAATGATTGCCGTGAGCAGTGATCTCTACGTATTTGGCGGCTGTGGGACGAGCGGGCGACTGGCAGATCTGCACAAGTTCGACACAGTCAAGAAAACTTGGCACAGCCTTGGAAAATCAAACCTCTTGCGAGGCAGGGGTGGGCCAAATCTGCTCCATTTGAAGTCTGATCGGCTTGCAGTTATTGCTGGATTCGCAGGCGAAGAAACAAACGACGGCCATGCATATGATCTGAAGAAAGGGGCATGGGAAACTAGCGCTTTAGAGGGGCTTGCAGATCTTCGCCCCCGTAGCGTGTGCATTCCAATTTCGCTTCCGGGGGACAAGGCACTCGTATTTGGAGGGGAGGTCAATCCTTCAGATCTAGGACACGAAGGGGCGGGTGGTTTCGAAAATGATATTGCCGTACTCGATGGCAAGACTGGTGCCCTTTTGAGCAGCATTTCGTCTTCTTCCGGGTGGCCAGTGGAGAGAGGATGGGCTGACGGAGCTGCTGGAGAGGCGATCAAGGGATTGACAGGCCGTTTCTACATCTTTGGTGGACTCACCGGAGACGACCAGAACCCTAAACGACTCAATGACTTGTGGCAGTGTGATGTGGAATAGGTTCTTCACGAACCTCGAAGCGCTCCGAGGTCAGGCTGCTGTCCCTCCCGAGTTGGACAAAGCAACAGAGGTGGTGGCTTTTCTTTTGGCAGCAGCTGGACTGGTGATGCCTAGCTACGGGCCGGCACGATGCCCTGCCCCATGAAGAATGCGTTGGGGGATCGGGCACATAATGGCACAAAGATAAAGATAAGTGTCTTCATCAGCGGCTCCAGGGACCGTACTTGGATTGGAGTGCACTTTGAGCCCAGGCACAGGGAAGAGCAAACGATCAACCGACCTTGCCTGTTCCCAGCTTCCGGAATCCCAGGCCCACTTGAGCTTTGGGCCTTTGGGCCTTTGGGCCATAGGGCACACGCGTCGTAGCCAATACCCGCAGCGTTTCCTCCTTCCTTCGCAGGGGTAGGCTTAGGCAGGTTGCATCGTTTGTACATCTTTGGGCTGAAAGATGGAGCAAGACGATTCGGTTTCTCCTGAAATCTCCCCTAAGCTGCAAAGTTGCAGGTGTCCATCCTGCCCGAGATCCGCAACGATGCTGGAGACGGCGTTGCCTTCGTTGGACTCAAATGTCATGCACCCATGGAGGCGAGCGAATTGAAGTCTGCTTGCGCCGGCCGTTTGTAAGCAGAGTATGGCAGCAGCAGTGAGGCCAACGTGCCGGATGTCAGTCGCACAGCCGACCGTTGCTGCCACTTCGAGCTCGCAGTCCTAGAGTCCTCCTGGGTCGCACTTTTATGACTGCTCTGAGGTTGGTGGAGCAGTCGCTGTGGCTGTGACGCCGTGCCCTGAGAAGACAAATTAACCCTGTAACACGGCTGCGGAAGTACTCGGAGAGCCTGCTAGGCCACTCCATCCCTGCTGCCTCAGAACGGAAACGGTGGCGCTTCCGGAGGCTTTCCCATCTCTTCCCAAGTCCTCAGAGTGTCGGCTGTGGGTTTGCACCAGGCGATGCGAGGCGTTCCCAGCTGCCTAGTCAGCCTGCTGCCAGCAATGATGCCCCTTGGCAGCAGAGTTGGCATCTCGTTTCCGGCTGTGCCAGGGGCCCGCCCCGCTTCTCCCAAGGCTGTTTAACCACACAGAGAAGCTAGAGGCCATGTGCCGGCATTTGTCAGTCGAGCCTCTGAGCAACCACTGCGCTGCTCGTGCGTACTCGTTGTGTAGGCTCAAGAGAAGGAGGGCTAGCCGTTGTTTGTCTGGCCTGGCCCATGCGGAAGTGCCATGGTGGGAGTGTGCGTGTTTGCAGTGTTGCTGTTGCAGCGGGTTGCTGCAGACATTCATGAAGCGGTACGCTCGAATGATCCGACAAAGATCCAGGAAGCCCTGGCATCTGGAGAAGACATAAACTTACTCGGCCCAGGAGGTCAAAGTCCGTTAATGCACGCAGTGCTGACTGGCAATGCGAATGCAGTCAAGTTTTTGCTGGAGCAACGTGCCGATACCTCCGTCCCTGAAAAAGATGGTTACACTCCCATGCATGGAGCAGGTTTCCAGGGAAGGGCAGAGATTGCAAAGATGTTGATTGCTCATGGTCTTGACCCCAGCGAGAGGCACAAAGATGGCTTCACTCCAATGCACAGAGCATGCTGGGGCACAGAACAGCGCCATGCCGATACAGTGAGGGTCTTTCTAAAAGCGGGTGTACCTTTCGATGAAGCCGCGAGCAACGGGCCGGGGCCCCAGTTGAAGTTCAGAAGTTAGAGTTAGGTCAGCCAGGTGCATTTTTTGCTGCAATCCTTACCTGTCAGAGGCAGAAGCCGTTGGACATGGCTCAAAACAATCCCGCAACTCTGAAGCTGCTGCGAAAGAGGGCGGACAAGGCAAGCAAGAAGGAGAAGGTGCCCCGGACTGATCCATGGTGCGAAAGTCCATGATTAGACTGAGACCGAGCGGTCGAGCGATACCCCTGAGCTAAGGAGCTCTGAGCGCAGCATTTGCTACCGCGCCACTGGCAGCGTCAACTTAAGAAGACTGGCAGCGGAAGAAAATGGAAGAAAGGACGCCTTTGGTGCCCTCGAACAGCTGTGTGTCTTCTTCTTTGTGCCTTCGGGCTTTCGGTACAGGTTGGCTTCAAGCAATGCGGATGTCCCTCAGAAACAGCGGCCTGGGACTCATATCGCAATCGGAGTGCTTTGGCGAAGCAGCGAAGGGGAACTTCCAACGAAGTGGTTTTCAGGCAGTCTAGTCTTTTCCGATGTCTCAGTTTTGGCAGAGGTCTGGGTCTCGGCCGGCACCAGTCGGGCACTCTGGTGGACCAGCCTCAGCGACCAGCTCCTTCAGGCTTTCGAGATTGTCTTTTCAAGGGCAGTTTGTGACACGTCCTGGCAGCCGGCAAATGTCGGGAGGTGGCTGTGAAACACCAGGGCTCTCGGACCTCGTGGCCCGGAACCCTCTTCTGTCAGGCACCTGCGTTTGTATGCCCGCCCGCTAGCAGGTGCCAGCCCTTTGAGTTGAAGGAGTCCAGAATAGGCACTTTGCCCTAATGCTATGCTGGGATCGCTCACTTCGAAGTCCCTGCTCGCCCTGTCGAGAAGGTGCTTACCCCGTCACCTTGAAAGCACAGGCGCAGTTGCCGGCCCCCCCAGTTGTGTTCAAGAGTCCACGGGGTCCACAAAGAGCCACTGATGCAGAAGGTCTCGCTTCCTGCTCTGCGTGTGCATCGACTTCGATGCTGCAAGCTGGGCTGCCGGGCATCTCAACTCTTGCGTCTGAGTTTGCTGGCGTCGTTGGAAAGACAATCACCTTGGCAAGCCGCGAGTGCTCCGATTCCTCATGTCATGCCGTGCGGAATGCTGCAATGTAGCCGTGTGAGTTCGGCCTGGACGCCGTGTTCCGATTGCCTGCTTCAGCCGCGGTCTGTGATGGCTGATAGGCGCAACTGCAGCAGATGGTCAGCTCAGGTGTGGGTAGCGACAGACAGTCCGAGGGCAGCGCTGTCCGGCTGCACATCTTCACTTCCGTCCGATGATGTCAGAAGCAAACTTGGTTTTCCCTGTCTCGCGAAACCACGCCGCTTGGAAAGAAGATGCCCGAATGTCAGCCGTCAGCTTGAAGAGAGACGCGATATTGGATCCTTGGCATCTAACATCGGCGATCGGTGCACTTTCTGCGCAAAGTCTTTGGCGTGATGCTGTCCTGCTCCTTTCCCAGAGCCGGAGATCCAGACTGCATGCAAGCACGATTTGTTGTAACGCTGGAATGGCAGCTTGCCAAAAGGGATTGGCATGGTCTGTGGCCTTGTCTGTGTTGGTTCTGATGTGCACAGACGGCACACGGCCGGATACCATTAGTCTCAACACCTGTATTGGATCAAACAGAAAAGGCTTTTGGAGGACAGGGCTGGCACTTCTGAAACCAGCTTCTTTCTCCATGTTGAAGCTGGATTGCTTCACGTTAACCAGCCTGCTCTCAGGGTGCAGGAGCAACTGGCGTCTTTCGAGAGACATATTTGACGATTTATGTTTAGCAAATGGAGTGCAGCCAACAACACAGGTATGTAACGCGCACTTGACCGCCACCTCGAAGCAACCGTGGGCTTTTTCATTGCATTCCGTGGCAGAGACATCCCAGACAACCGACCGTGTGACCTTCAAGATCGTTGCTGGCAGCCTTGTTCAGAGCGGGATTTGGGAGCAATGCACTGCGCTTCTTCAGTTCCTGCGGTCGCGGAGATGTAGTGAGCAGGCCATGCCCTTGACTTCTCTCGTCAGTGCATTCGGGCGCGAGGTACTTTGGAACCGAGCTGTTTACATCATGTCTAGCTTGGACAAAGACCTGGGAGCTTGCTCTGCTGCCGTAAGTGCTTGTGAGAAAGCGTCCATTTGGAAGCAAGCCCTGGGGCTTTCAGGGATTCTTGCGGAGTCTGGCATCAGGAGTGATATTGTGTGCTGGAATGTAAACCTTAGCGGCTTGGCAAGCGCGAGCAAGTGGACAGAGGCATTGGGGACCTTCCGTGCCGCAGCCAAGTCTGGTCTCAAACCAGACGTTGCAACTTTTGGTGCGACTGTGGAAGCAGCAGCTACAGGGGGTCAGTGGGCGGCGCTTCTGGTCTTGCTTTCCCGGCGCAGCCGAAAAATCGATGCAGCAGCCTGCAGCACTGCACTGCGCGGCTTAGCCGGTAACCCTTGGAGAGCAGGGACTTTGGTTCTGGAAGCTGCTGTACGCGACACTTTGCGACCAGATTTGGGAAATCATGCATCCCTTCTCAGCGCTTTGCCGTCACAAGCCTGGCAGAAGGGTGTGCAGGCACTTCCGCAGCTTGCACTGAACACCTTACAGGCCCTACATTCCCCTTCTTATTTGTCATTGTCTGCTGCGCTGTTTCAAAGGTTAGGTGAATGCCAGAATTGGAGCAGGGCCTTGGTGCTGTTCTCATTCTTGCAGGGCTACGAAATGCTGAGCCCTTCAGTTTTGGCCAATGCCATGGCATCCTTGCAGGCCGCCGGCCGACGGAAACAGGCCTTGGATCTGTGCAGACGGGCACAGAAGGATGCGGTCCAGCTGGACACTGCGTCACTGTCTGTTGTCCTATCCCTTTGTGATCGAGCAGATTTCTGGCAAGACTCCCTGCGTTTTCTGTCTGACTGGACTGGGCAGCTGGAGGGCGTCACGTTGGGTGCAGCCGTGGGCTCATGTTCCAAAGGTCACCAGTGGTCATTTTGTGCTTCTCTCTTGAAGAGTTTACAACCACAGGCAACCAAGTCTCTTGTCGCCATAAATTCCCTCATTGATGCTGCAGCAAAATCTTCGGATTGGCAGGTGGCTCTTTACAACCTGATGCACGTTGCGCACGATGGCCTCGAGCCCGACCTCACTTCCCTCAACTCTGCGCTCCCAGGCTTTAAGAAACAGGATTGGGTGCGTGCCATTACCCTTACATCAGTTTTGTTGCAGCATCAGCAGCCAGACGCCATCACGGCAATGGGGCTGCTTGCTCTGTTTGAAGAGGCTTCGTGTTGGACCCGGGCTGCTCCACTCCTGGATGAGCTTGGCAGCAAAGCTGCTATGCTCGAATCCCGAAGCCAAGCGATGGCTTGCATGGACTGCCTGCTGCGCACAGATAAGCTGCACGCCAAGGTTTCCCAGATGTTGTACCGATTGGTGCTGGCACCTGCCATTCCCATACTTTCTGCCATGCACAGGACCAGACTCGAGGAGTCTCCACCAGAGTTGCAAGTGTACAGTTTCGGCGCCCACTTTACTAATGCTGCACTGTCACAGCTTAGCCTGACCGCCACATCTGCCTTTTGGCTGCCCATGGTTCGGCAGGAGACACGAAGAGTCAGTCAGCCGCGAGGGACAACCCAAACCCAGCAAGTGGCCTCCGCCCGCCTGGTGACAGCATCGGCGGCACATTCGATTTGTCCGCGGACAGTCCGCCAGCGCAGTCTGGGACACCGCGGAGAGGGTGTCGAGGATGCTCTTCAAGCAAGGTTGATCCCAATTTTCGTCGAGCACGATCGAAGCCTTCATGCAGAGCGGTATGCGCTTTTGGCAATCCTCTTCGATCTACGTTTTCGCTGGTCACAAAAGGGGTCACTCTTTGCTGCGTGCCCTGCCTTGGACAGTTTACTCGTAGTCCTTCATGTGGAGGCGTGGCCTCTCAAAGCTGCACAGGTCACAATCAAAGACAGCAACTTCTGTCACATGCTTGTTAACAAGCATCCTGATGCACGTGCCCAAGCTTTGTAGGATCAGCCGCCGGCATCCGTTGTCATGCTATGCTGAAACCCCATTCTGAGGTTCAGCTGCATGCCAGCATGGAAGGAGTTGGCGAGGCCTGTGCACAAGTGCCGATCCACGGCTGTTTGAAGCACTTGACCCATCTAGATGTTACTGATCAGTGCATTCAGGGGCACGGGCGAACTGTCAAAGGGAAGCAAAATATTCGGAGGGCTGCAGGACTTGAGCAAAGTCTGGCGAGTGGAAGCTCAGCTAGGATACGGAAGTGATCCCGATCGTCTCATGAACCCACCTTACAACGACTTGGGAAGAACCACCGGAACACACTAATTGGATGCAGGACCCAGCATACGCCTTCAGTGTGGCAGACTTCTGAGAAGTGTGCAGCCTGGGTGCCTTTTTCCATTCTTTTTGTGGCACCTCTGAGGCCTTCGGGGAGCAACTGCCTATCGGGGGCAGAGGCCCCTAGACAATGTTGCTCACTAGTGCTTGAGTCAGGGGCAGCACTCGCAGAGACAGTGCGAAGTTCAGCACGGCAGGACCACCAGCCGGAAATGTCCCACGGCCGAGGGCTTTGATCCCATGCTGAGATTTCCACAATATAATATAATATAATATAATATTATATTATATTATATTATATTATATTATATTATATTATCCACTGGTTCGGTCAGGGCTTACCTGTCTGTTGCCTTGCGAAGGCTCCGCCTGGCAGTGCAGCGCGCATCAGATGCTGGTGAGCGCGCGAGGGCCCCAGTCCTTGGCGGTACTCAGATGTAGTGTTTAATGAGACTCCTGCCAGCACAGGCTACAGTGCTGGTCGATCTGAACCGCAGTGGCGTGCGAAAAGTGCCACGGTGGCCACATCCCGAAGTGTCTCTGTTCTGCTTTCTTGGTGCAGTTAGCAGAACAGTTAGAAAAAGATCAGGTCTGGCAGTGCTTCCGGCGTGGACATCTCAGGTGACCTTAGACCTTGTCAGAAGCATTTGCCACTACTGACTCTGAGGCACATTCTGCACATGCTCAAGCTCAAAAGAGGACTAAGCCACCAACAAGAGTCACTTTGAATCACGTGCGACCCAACGCTCGGATCTCTCTGTTTTTCCGAACAGGACAAAATCCACCCTCCGTGCCTAGGCCTCAGACATCGAGTCGGGTCAGCTCCAGATCGAATCTCCACCCGGGAAACTCATGTGAACCTGGACGAGGTGAACGCCACCGTGGTCGTTGCCATACATGATCGTGTGGCAGTGGTGGATCTCGTCGTTGATTTGAAGTTGTGCGAAGCAAGCTTCAGTTTCAAGCTTCCAGCCGGCATGCAAGCCAGGTCACCGTCATGCCTGACAAGCCGGCTGCTTTCGTCTTGGCCTAAGAACCCACCAGAATATCCAGAGTCTGGTTGACTGTCGGTTTGCCAGCTTCCTGCAGGCCCCGGTGCCACGACAGGTCGAGGCGCATTGAAGTCACGGACGCGGGAGCCTCCCATGATGCCCCTATCACAGGACAGTGGTGGAGAAGAAGTGGAGAGCGAAGATGCAACCGTCCTCAGGACGTCCATGTGCTCAGGCTGCTTCAGCCCGGCACCGGCCATGAGGGTCACTTGCGACGTGCCTCAGGTTCACGGGCGAGCTGAAGATCGACACGCTTCGTGCCTGATGCTTTGATGTTCCATCCCTTCGTGTAGATGCAGTCAAGGACAGTAGGCAATTCGATCTTAGAGGGCGCGGTGACAGCTAGCAGCTACATGCACGACGTGTCAGATTCCGGCTCACTAGCATCTCAGGTGGGTCTGGTGGTGGAAGGCGGGTGTGATTTCCGGCTCAACGATGAATCTTCTTAACTTACCGCCCCTTTCTTCATGCAGCGCCTGAAGCCGTAAGTCACCGTAAGTGTATGCCTTATGCCTACGCACTGCTAAACGAAGGCTGCAGGTATTGTCGGCCTGCATATGCATGGCCCCAACTGTTCTTGTACTGAGTGCTGCTTACCAGGACCATCCGCAAGCCTGTCGCCTTCATCCGTCGTGGCCTCTTTTCACCGAGGCCTCTCCCCAAACTCTCCACATGATCTCAGGTTTGGGGTACCGCAGCTGCTCTGGCCGGCAGCTCAGCGTGCTTCCATGGTCTGGCGGCGGGCTGGAGTCGCGGAGGGGCACGGCTGACAAGTGTAGTTCCAGAGGCTTCATCCGAGCCGAGACGGCGAAATGAGGCCGACTCCACAAGATGCTGTTTTGTTTGCTTCCGCTTTTAGTGGTTTTTAGTGCCTCCGCTGTGACTTCAAGTTGTCCCCGCTGCTCTTTTGGCTTTGCAGGCGCTGCATCATGAATTTTCGCATGGAGCCAACCTACCATGCACAGGATTGGGCGCCTGAAGAAGAAGCAGGCGAAGTCGAAGTCGAAGCCTCGCAGAGAAGGTGCCAGAGAGGCCGAGAGGCCGGTCTCTGAAAGCGTAGATGCCTTGCCGACCGGGAAAATCGAGGAGGCCGGTTGGAAGGGCTTTTGCACAGCCTTTGCCAACATCCTGGGCAGGGAGCTAGAGTCCAGCTCGCCGGTGCTAGCAGAAACTGAAATAGAGAAGAAGCTGAAAGCTAGCAAGGAGGAGTCCAAAGCCAAGCGGCTTCAATCCGCAGAAAATCGGACGGAGAAGGACAAAGGTCATTCCTTGCCGGACATCACACAGAAGAACTTCGAAGCGCAGCTTCGTAAGTTTGCCACCCAAGGTGTTGTCCGCTTGTTCAATGCTGTGCGAGACTACCAAGCACATGCAACTGATGACAAAGCCGAGAAATACGAGGTGAACAAAGTTCCCCTTCACCAACGAGCAAAGATGATCGTTGAAAGAAAGAAGGAGACATTTGCGAAATCCTTGAGCAAGGTCAAAAAGCCAAGGGCGAGTGATGTCAAGGCCCGTCCCGAGACTGTTCGATGAGTAGAACTTACGCATGCTCGACTATTACAGGTGAGGTTCAGTTTGCATGGAAGTCTGATGTAGGCGAAGGCGTGTGCGTAGTTTGCCTAAACTACGCCCATGGGACCATGTAGGTACTCAGGGTATATCACAGCATATCGCAGCGTTTATCTGCGACAGGCGAAGCGAAAAGAACGTCGCGAAGCCTCTTCCAAGGCTATGAGTCTCGCAGCCGACAACATGTTGGATGAGTTTGGATAGACGCTCTCCAGAGCATACGTGCCACGTCTGTGCAGCGCTGACACAGCGTGCAGCCTTCTCTTTTCTGGATCGTCCATTGGGCGTGCCGGTGGAGCATAAAATGCGCTTCTGCTTTCAACCACGCACGATTCAGTTGAGCCCGTGTTACTACAAGCATCGTATGAAGTTTCAAAAAACCATCCGGGCCATGGCAGGTCTTCACGATAAACTTGCGGGGTGTGGTTGTCAGCGTGGCCCAGACGCCAGCCTCTCAAGTTGAACTCACGTGCATGCAATCCTTTGTGCTGGATGTTCTTCCAGGCCTGACAGATGCCGCGATGTGGATTTTCAGATCTGGGACATTCAGGCCGGACGTGAGGCATAAACACGAAATGCGCCGGTTACCAAGCAGCTGCCTTACCCCATGCAGCCGAAGATCCATTGGTAGTGATTGCTTCGTTCATGCGGATGAAGGTGGACATGCAGCATCCGAGAAAAGATGTCGTCTTGAAAAGCACCTCGCAGCCTGCGCTTCGCACGCCATGGATCTCAGTTGAGAGGGCTAGTATCAGTACGGTTTGCGTGTGTGGCAGTCTTTTGCTGTCACTCTCGCGACGCAAGGTTCTCTCGAAGAGATGATGTGCTCGAAATGGACGTGCATTTGCGCGAGGTGGGGTTGCGAGGTGCTCTCTTTTGCGGGTCAAGGGCGTCACCCATGCTTTGAGAGGTGAAGCTCGCATTCGGGCACCTGGAGGTGTGTTCCTTGGATCCCAGCCGCCGTGGATGCCGTGGAACGTCACGACATCTCCGTTCCCAGGTCTCTGTGATGGGTGCATTGATGGATCAAGTACGTCTCCTCAGGTGCGGAAGGAAGTAAACCCCGGCTACAGCTTTTTTCCCAAAGTGCTATTCGTGGCAGGCGAAACCTGACAGTGGGAATCGGTGGCCTCACGTTTGACCAGGTCCTGATCAGGGCGAAGGCTGCCGAGTACTTTAGCATGCAGGCTACATGGAGTCTATCCCTTTTCGGGCAGGGCGCGCTGCATTTGAGCAATCCGCAACCTCCGGATGCTTCGTCAAAGCTTGTGGTCAACAAGCTCGCCCTGTGCCTGCATGTCCTGCATGCTGTTCACAAGAGGGCCTCTAGATTTGTTCATCATCGTCTCAGGTTGTTGGAGATGCAAGGGTGGATGTTTGGTGCCAGCGATGGACCTAGCCGCGCAAGGACATGTAGAGCTTCAAGTATGCCAGAAAGCCACTCATGCCAAACGAGGCTGCACCTACCTGATGCGCATTATCTCCCAAAGTCTCTTCGTGACACCATTCAGGCAGAGCAAGGGGCTTGGGCTTCGGAGTCACTTGCCCGGCCCGCGGCTCCAGGTGGTGAGCTTGGGAACTACCCGTCTAGACATCAAGGGTGCGCAGGCGGAAAGCTCGGACGGGATGTTTTCCCGGAAAGCAATGCATGTTGCATGGACTCAGGTCAAGCTCCCACAGCAGGTACTCTTTAGCGAAAAGAACCCCGCGGAGGGAAACTTCGGCATTGTAGCGTCCAAAGCGCCATACTCAGCCTTTCTTCGCGGTGCAAGCCCCAAAAGAACAGCAGCACCAAGAGGTTTGGCTGCAGTATCTTCCGCTGGTCAAAGCTTGCTGGCGGTCATTGCCCTGACCTCAGTGCGGAATCAGAGAGGTCCGCTCGATCTGTCGCAGCACCTATTTACACCATTCTGCATCTACCCGCTATCATAGTTTATCCCTGCTTCGACACGGTAATTGTATGCCTGTCCGAGGCTTCAGCATTCCAACATTTTCTTGGGCGGCCTTTTAAGCCGACACACTTGGAACCCCAGGCAGAGGCCGCCTGGGTGAATTTAGTGACATTGATAATGAGACGCCCGAAACCTGCCGGTGGAGGCGTGAATGGCGCTTGTCGCCGCCTCTTTGTCACATAGGCTCGGCTGCAAAATGGGGTCCCACGCGTCTATCCTTACGCAAGTCATTCGAAGCGTGCCCAAGGTCCTTCAGGCGAGCTTCGCCTGACGGAGACCGGATAGGGTGCTGCCTACGTGCTTCCATGACTGATGACTGTGGGTTTGTGTGCATGGGCTTTGTGCGGAATCTCGGCTCGAATGGCGAGCCAATCAGATGAGTGCTGCCTTGAAGAGGATTCATCTCTCAAGCCTGTGCCGGGCACCAACGCATTTGCCTGCTGTGAGAGCTGGCAAGGCGTCCGCGCTGCATGAAGCGATGATTCCTGGTTTGCTTTGCCATGATTTGCTTTTACTCCCCCGAAAACCCTCGGAGGTGGGCCTTGCAACTATGGGCCTTGCAACTACGGAGGCTACGAAACTCCCGAGTTTCGAGCTGCATGAAGCGGCATTTCTACACAGATCTTTGGAAGATGCATGGGACACGAGCACGGCGGAGGCACATGCGAAGTAGCCTGGCCCCAGGACTTATGAATGGGTTTGCAATTTCTACGGAATCATGGCAGCCCCCCGGTCATCGCGAGGTTTTTGTTGATTACATACAACGATTCCATACAACATGGCGACATCGTTCTCGTTTGCATATGCCATCCGAACCAGCCGTTTCTGCCATGACTGCCATGGTTGGATGATGGAAGTATAGGCTATGAGTTGATTAGAGCGGGGGGGCTTCGTGTGCTCTGGTCCGCCGGGCTGGTGAGTCAGACACGTAAGGTTTGTCTGCAAGCAAGCTACACTACACCAGCGAACAGGACTGGACGCAGGAGGATGGTGAGAGAGGGAGAGAGGTAAGGAATGGTAAGGAAGCACCATATCGCAAGCAATTCAACAGAGACCCTTGACAAAATCAGGCTGCAGCACGCGTAGGGGTTATGTAGGCCAAGACATCGGGCCGCATGTACAAAGGAGGGGAGTACTACAGATGGGTGGGATAGATGGCCTTGAGCACCATCTGCGATGCTACCTAGGTATAACGTCTCCGACCACCCCAGTGTCATGGCAGCCTTGGCCGTGGCAGGGATACCGTTTTGTCTGCAGCTCTCTGGAGCAACAGTTGTGCACCCTAACTCTAGGCATTTGGCAGCGGATCGCAGAACATTGCCTGCCATACTCGGACGGCAAAGTCGTCACGGACCTCGGGGCTGGCGATGGCACACTGGGGAAGCTTTTGCAGGCAGGGTCTGCAGAGTACACGGGGACTCGGGACGCAGATCTCGACACTCCCTATCCAACACCCGAATGTGGATGCCTGGGGAGATGCCCGAAACCGGAGCCACAGGAATCCCAATCAACAAGCAGACAACGGCAGTGTGCCTCCTTGCAGGACCTGGTAGGACAAGGATGGCCTTTCTGGCGTGTGGGGAGACTGAAACCAAACCAAGCGTCTCTTACATTGCGGAAGTGTCGGAGCAGCTCGACATGTTGTAACCTTGCAGCTGCTAGCGTGGATAGATTATGATAAATTCCATGTCTGGAGTAGGAAACTGAATTATACCTCGAAATGCTGCAGTTTGGACCAAATGGAGCTTCGGCGATCGCGCTGGACATCATGTGAGCCTTTAAATTCTCATCAGACTCAGACGGGCTCCGATCGAAGCAGAAGGGTGTCGAACGGAGCCCATTTCATGGGAGAATGTGGACGATGTGGATGTGTGCTTATTGAAACATTGATCCCGCTGGCTCACTCTTTGGCCCCTGTGTCCCCGATCTGTCACACGCCCCAGAAAAGGAAAGGGAGGAGGCCAACGTCGGCCGCACAAGGAACATAATGCTGGGGAGGAGGTGTTTAGTGGTTTAGATGCTTGACACCACAGTCCATGAGCAAGCGAAAACTTCTGATAATATCTCCTCCACACGTGACACCCTCCCCTGCACCGGTTTCTGTGTGGCTTTCTCTGGGCATCCCGAAAGGCGCGGACTATGTTCAACGTGGAACTTCGGTGGCAGACGACAGTTTGCTTGTCTACTTAGAAGGATGCGCGAGAAAGACTCAGGACCCATTCCCTCCAGACAACTGCGCACATTTGAAACTTGCTTGCATGCGGGAGAGACCGAGTTCAATGCAGCCAGGCAGAAGTTGTCATGGCTGCGGGAGAGTGTCGAGAGTGAATGGAATAGGAGAGGGAGCGCTGCCAATTCTGGAGAGTTGCGGCCGCCCTCTGCCAGCTCTGAGCACTTGATGCACAGCCATCCTGAGGATCGTCAAGAGCGACGGTGTCGAGTTTCTGCGTCACCAGCCAGAACAAAGCCTCGACCTGGTCGTCGCCACTTTTGCCGTGCACTTCATGGACAGGGCCAGCCTTGACAAGGACACAATCAGAAAGCACCTGTTGTTAAGTTGCCTGGAAGGGGGCTTCTGAGAGGAGCTTACACGAGTGCTGCGCCCCAATGGCCGAGCCACGTGGTTCAGCCCTTCGGAAGCCTTGACTGCGTAGAATCCTGTGTCTGGAGGCATCGCAGTGTTGTCTCGTTCCCGACCCGCGTCCGCTGCTGAACCTTACCGAGGCTTCTCTCAGACATCTACGCTTTTTGGCAACGAGGACCTCGGACAGCCATGCCGGAATCGTAAGGTCAGGACCCAGTAGGCGTGCAAACGATGTAGAGAATGAAGAGGCCGTGAGAGTAAGTTAGCCGAATATGACAACAATATGGTCATGCATGTGCTACAGAACTCTTCAAGCAGCAGCTAAATTTACAGCAATTTACATGGAGAGTCGTTCCTTTTGTAGTACTGGGTGCTTGCTGGCTGCATGCAAAGTCGAGCACCTACATGAAATCGAGCGTCTACCTGGGGAATCTGGGGATCGGCTGGTTTTGATGTGCTGTGATGCTAGTATTTGCTGTTGTTCTTTTCTGCAACGTCTTCGTCGTGATGACATCGATTGCTAATGGTGCTTCTACTGCCACAGTGGTCTCGGTCACCCTGGCCGAATGCACACTTTAAAAGTGCTGTGATGCCACTAATGTTTGTCTGTACCCGTGTTAGATGGTTCTGATGTGTTGTGATTCTGCTTCTCAAATCGAGCGGCCGCACGGGGAATGGCTGGATTGGTTGTGCTGTGACGCCACTGATGTTTGCCTTGAGTGTGTACTTGTGAAATCGAGCGCCTGTATGGGGAATAGCTGGTTCTGATGTGTTATGATTCCACCGACGCGCGTCTTGCCTGAGTGCTTCTCAAATCGGGCGTCTACATGGGGAATGGCTGGCTTGGTTGTGCTGTGATGCCACTGATGTTTGCCTCGAGTGTGTGCTTGTGAAATCGAGTGCCTACATGGCGAATAGCTGGTTGTGGTGTGTTATGATTCCACCGACGCGTGTTTTGCGTGGGTGCTTCTCAAATCAAATCGGGCATCTACATGGGGAGTGGCTTGGTTATCATGTGTTTTTGTCTGGCGGGTGGACACGGTGTCTACGTGGGAAAAGCCATGTTGAAGTGACCATGACGATGTGACCTCCTCGCATCGCACGCGCGCGCGTGTCCCCTCAGACAGCTGTGTTCCAACAAAAAAGCGAGTGACTCAGCTCCATGACTATAGCCTGCGAACCAGAGACCTATAAGACCTATTGCCTTGGGACTGTTTTCTTGCGGACGAGCTCCCTGCGGTGCGGCTTTGTCAGCGGGGCGGGTGGGAAAACAAGACCTGCGACTTTACAGCGCGAATTCTCATCTTGCCGTGGGTCGAGGTCCGATTGGATCTATTTGCGAAAACGGATGTCAGATATACTGCGCGGTGCCTTGCATTCGCCATCGCAAGGGCGAGCTTGAAACAAGCGGTAGAAGGGCTGGGCTGAAGCTGCGGCATCTTATCTCGCGCTTTCACAATATAGTTAAAGGGGCGGACGGGGGCGCCCCCCCTGCGCCACTATGCAAGTGATTGATTTAGAGCCAATAAGGAGGGGATATTGTGTGCAGTTTGGGGGGGTCCCTGCCCCCTCCGTTGGTGCCCCCCCTCCCCCCCACCTCAAGGTCCATCGTGGCCTATGCGTTTAAGCAACATAGCAACTTGCGTTTTGTGCTTACGTGGCCGATCGCGTCTACTTGGCAGGTTTCACGTCTGACCCCTCAGTAAATAGCTTAGCTGCCACCAGGACAGATCGAAGCTACTTGTAGATGGCCCAGTTATTGCTTACGCAGGGACATTCCGACGCGCAATGAGGTCGGTCAAGGCACTACGATAGGACAAGGGTGTATCTTTACGTGGGCCAGTGTAAAGCTAAATAATGCTATCATATTGCAGGATTAAACTTCATGGCTCTACATACGTGCTTGCATCCACGCTGCCCGAGCTCTGTGGACGCTGGTTCCGTATTGCCCGTGCAACTTCAGTGGAGCAGAGGCCTCTTCGTGAGTGTGAGCACGTGTACGTACACGTGGTGCAGGACTTCAATCGGCTCTACTACTCGGTCGGATTTGAGAAGGATGGTGGTGCCTCTGCAGCTTCCAAGCCAACCTCAGTGCTGAGGATTACCCGGCCTGCATCCTATGATGACTTGCGAAACCACATTGAGAACCGATGTCACAGCAATTTGAAGCAGATGTCTGACGAAATGATAGCTCAGCTGATTTCCTTAATTCCACGTGATTTGAAAGAGTTGGACATCCGGTTAGATGTTTTCGAATTTGTCCCACAACCTTCCAGAGATGGCTTGATCCAGTTGTGACAAGCACTTGGGATGGCCTTTGTGGCTTTGAAGAAAGCCGCGTGTGCCCGCAGGATCCCAAAGGGGCTTCTCACGGGACCAATTAGCTTTTTCCGAGGAGCAGCTTTGAGATCGCATAGTCCCGGGC